GGTGCGGGCCTAGCTAGCTACGTAGTTAGCGTGGCTAGCCATGTCAGTGACACTATTTGTCATGGAACGGCAATTGCATTAAACTTCTCTGTTCTTAGCCAACATTCAGCATGTTTACATGTAGCCAGATCAACATATTAATGGGTTAGCTAGCTAGCTAGGTTAGCTAGTTAGGGCCAATAAACTAGCTAGCTAAAGATGTTACCAGCTAGGTAGCTAGTAGCTAGTCAGCACTATATATGTTTAACCCATAGCACAGGAATTAACACTTGAATATCATGTTGTGAATGTGATTAATTGTGAAACAATAGTTATATTTATGTTCTAGCTGTATTCCAAATAATTTCAGATCTGACTATCTTTAGGCCTTATCTGTGTGTAGATCGGCTTAATGGCCGAAATGCATCCAATGTGACTGCTGAGATAAATACAGCGAGCTAGCAAGCTACCCTTTATTTAAGTGCTGGCCGTCCGATTACTTATGGGCTAATTTATACAGCACCCAAGACTTATTCACAGAACTTAGTAAGAGTTGAGCACGTCATATTTGGCATTTTAGTCTATATAGCCTATTAAATATGGCCTGGCAAATGACCTTTTGGCTCAGTCCTCAAAATTAGCTGCCTTGTTGATATTTGTGTAAATGCATTTAACTATTTGGAGTGCAAGGATACGGACAACATGGCATTCAAAATATAACTTGTTACAGGCCACTTGACACTTGATTAACAAACATTAGATCTGTTTTCGTAAGAATGGGCCAGTACAGGGAACCTGTCATTGTAAATTATTCATGGTTTACTAACTCACTTGTGTTGGCCAACTTGTTACACCACCTGGTGTAGGAAGCTAATTTCCCCCCTCTAGTCTTGGTGCAAAAAGTCCTACGTTTTCAGAACGGGGCTGGCAGCAAGCCACAGAAACAGCCATTTATTTGAAAAAGCCAATATTTGAAAGACAACCAATGGGCATTAAATAGTGCCGTCTTTCCTTTCGTAAATCACTTGGCACAGCCACACACTCAAACACACTGACTGAACATTCGCTCTCAAAGAAAAGCACATTTTCCTGGTATTAGACTCACACCAAGTTGCTGCCAAATGGGGCTATGTTCGCTAGATGCTTTCAGTTTTTCTGCTTTCTCTTTTTGTTACTCTTGTGGTTAATGCACATTGCTTTTGCGTTTTTGATATGTCAAGCCTCAGTCCTCTCCATTTACTGGTTATGCAGGCTCTTTTGACATGATGTCACAATTACTGATTTCTATACATAGTGTGACTTTGCATATATTCGATTTTGCCTTTGGTCCAGCACAGGGCAGTTGGGCCTGAGGGTGAAGGAGGGTAACCGAAAACAATGTCACCTTGCATTAAAATCCCATCGGACGCTCAACCTCTGTTACGGACAACTTTCCAGCGGAACAAAACAACTGCATGTCCTTTAGGAGAGGGTGAGACCTGAAACCACAAGGCACGTTTAACCTGCGGAGGGTTGGGTGTTGCTGTAGTGATAGACCACCTAAACTCAGGATTATCTAGCGTTCTATTATCAAAGTAGAGGAAGCATTACGCCTCTATCACACCGACAGCGTCGTTGCATTTTGGCACACCAGAAGTACATTAATTTCCAATGGAACGCTGCATTTGCCTTGCAGCATTGCGTTGCAGAGGCAGTTGTAGTGCGTTCTGTGTGGTGCATACGCTGGATTTAGCGAACGTATCCATCAAACTGTATGCGTAGACGCCTTGACAGAAATGGTAGCAGAAGGTGAATGTTGATGTTTTGTTCCACACGTATCCAGGTGATGCAGCGTACCATGATGCAGCAATGACGCTGTCAGTGTGATGAAGGCGTTAACAACACAGCCACCTGCAATCACATCGGTTAATCCCTGGATAGAGGTTACACTTTCCCAGATTGTCAATAATAGTGTTGGCCTATGCTTATTGCCTCAACCTTGTTGTTGCTGTTAAAAAGCCTTGGACCTTAGTGCCCTGGTCTGAATTTCAGCAGGTTGACAAAAGGCTTTTTCAGATTCCTCCAAAGCTGTCATGTGGCTTTTGAGTCACAGGGCTTTGTGGAAAAGCCATCTCCACTAATGCAGCATAGCCTAGGCCTAAATGTTGTGCGTCTCTGATATAGGCTATGCATTTATGGCCTGTCTCTGATTTGTATTTGAATGAGAAGCCTTTACTGTTCTCTGGTTGATCTCTAATAGAGAGATACGTGAAATTAAAGTGCCACATGACACCACCATCATCCACCTGCTCAGTTTTGTGGTGAACATCTGGTGTACTCTAGGGAGTCCCAGAGAGATGCACATCAATAAGCTACCCTTGGATACGACTGTTTGATACTCAAGTTCACTTATTCTCTCTGTCTAGGCCTGTGTTTTCCCCTCTGAATCTCATTGAACATGTCATTTCATGAATTTCAACCTCTGTTGCAATCTTTCCTATTGTTAATTGTGTTTGTCTGACTGTCAGCCACAGGTATAGGCTACGTCCCAAATGGTTCCCTATTACCTACATAATGCACTACTTTTGACCAGAGCCTTATGGACCCTGGTCAAAGGTAGTGACTAGGCTATATAGGGAATAGGGTGTCTTTTGGGATGCAGCCATAGCCTAACTCCTAGGCTCCTGACCCAGTTTGAAAATGCAAATAATTGTTTTTGCATAGAACAACTACAGAATCTTGCTCCGTTGCTGGATTCATAATGTCAATGGAGGCAATAGACGGCACAGATAATGTAGAAAACGGAGTCTGTTTCTCTTTGGGATCCTTATCGTTGCTTCTTTAACATGGAAGTTCTCCAGTCCAGGTACAGTGGGGAAAAAAAGTATTTAGTCAGCCACCAATTGTGCAAGTTCTCCCACTTAAAAAGATGAGAGAGGCCTGTAATTTTCATCATAGGTACACGTCAACCATGACAGACAAATTGAGGAAAAAAAATCCAGAAAATCCCATTGTAGGATTTTTAATGAATTTATTTGCAAATTATGGTGGAAAATAAGTATTTGGTCACCTACAAACAAGCAAGATTTCTGGCTCTCACAGACCTGTAACTTCTTCTTTAAGAGGCTCCTCTGTCCTCCACTCGTTACCTGTATTAATGGCACCTGTTTGAACTTGTTATCAGTATAAAAGACACCTGTCCACAACGTCAAACAGTCACACTCCAAATTTCACAATGGCCAAGACCAAAGAGCTGTCAAAGGACACCAGAAACTAAATTGTAGACCTGCACCAGGCTGGGAAGACTGAATCTGCAATAGGTAAGCAGCTTGGTTAGAAGAAATCAACTGTGGGAGCAATTATTAGGAAATGGAAGACATACAAGACCACTGATAATCTCCCTCGATCTGGGGCTCCACGCAAGATCTCACCCCGTGGGGTCAAAATGATCACAAGAACGGTGAGCAAAAATCCCAGAACCACACGGGGGGACCTAGTGAATGACCTGCAGAGAGCTGGGACCAAAGTAACAAAGCCAACCATCAGTAACACACTACGCCGCCAGGGACTCAAATCCTGCAATGCGAGACGTGTCCCCCTGCTTAAGCCAGTACATGTCCAGGCCCGTCTGAAGTGCATTTGGATGATCCAGAAGAGGATTGGGAGAATGTCATATGGTCAGATGAAACCAAAATATAACTTTTTGGTAAAAACTCAACTCGTCATGTTTGGAGGACAAAGAATGCTGAGTTGCATCCAAAGAACACCATACCTACTGTGAAGCATGGGGTTGGAAACATCATGCTTTGGGGCTGTTTTTCTGCAAAGGGACCAGGACGACTGATCCGTGTAAAGGAAAGAATGAATGGGGCCATGTATCGTGAGATTTTGAGTGAAACCCTCATTCCATCAGCAAGGGCATTGAAGATGAAACGTGGCTGGGTCTTTCAGCATGACAATGATCCCAAACACACCGCCCGGGCAACGAAGGAGTGGCTTCGTAAGAAGCATTTCAAGGTCCTGGAGTGGCCTAGCCAGTCTCCAGATCTCAACCCCATAGAAAATCTTTGGAGGGAGTTGAAAGTCTGTGTTGCCCAGCGACAGCCCCAAAACATCACTGCTCTAGAGGAGATCTGCATGGAGGAATGGGCCAAAATACCAGCAACGGTGTGTGAAAACCTTGTGAAGACTTACAGAAAACGTTTGACCTGTGTCATTGCCAACAAACGGTATATAACAAAGTATTGAGAAACTTTTGTTATTGACCAAATACTTATTTTCCACCATCATATGCCAATAAATTCATAAAAAATCCTACAATGTGATTTTCTGGAATTTTGTTTCTCATTTTGTCTGTCATAGTTGACGTGTACCTATGATGAAAATTACAGGCCTCTCTCATCTTTTTAAGTGGGAGAACTTGCACAATTGGTGGCTGACTAAATACTTTTTTTCCCCACTGTAGCATCCTCTCTCACTCAGCCATTGTCCTCCCATTAAATCAAACTGTGTGGCTTGACTATTGAAGTAGTCCTACAAAATAAATGGCCTTCTTTTGAGATTGTTTAGATTGGGCCCGTCCACTGTGGTTAGTTAAGCCTTATCCTCTCCGTGCTTCCGGACCTCATTTGGTTTGAAGAAGAGCCAACAGTCATTGCACAAGCTAGTGGCAACCCCTAGCTACTGAATGGACATAGGAGCAGCTTCAATAGATTATGAGCGCGTCACGTGTACTCTACGATGGTCAAGGACACGTGCCCTCTGCCCTGAACAAACTTTAGTCAGTGGGTCAGGTGCAACAAATGGTGGAATGTATTTAAAGTGTTGGTGATGAAGACTGGATCCAGAGATTGTATTTACAAAATATAGGCTACAGATGCTGGAAAATCCCCTAGTTGACTAAATGATTTGACCTAACTTGTAAAGATAGGAATACAGGAACATCGTCACAGACCTGTACTCTGAATGTTCTAGATGATGCTTGTTTATGTCTATAAAAAAAATCTGCCACTAAACGGAAGAGAAGAGCACATTAGCCCATTATGGGGATACTGCAGCTAATACCCAACTCCATAGGCTACATTCAGGTTAGATTTTTTTGTAGCCTCTTTTTGATATTCAGTATTTTTAGATCCGAGCGCATGACACCGTCCCCTGGGGTGAGCGTACCATATGTCCCTATTGACTGAGAACCTCCCTAGATCACTGCTTCTTAAACAGACAATATTCAAATCGTGAGTCAACTGGATGGTATAAAAACTCATAGATATAATGTTCTCGCCACTTCTGCTGCGCATTGCCTCGTCGAGTGGATTAACAACTAGCAGACATCCAATTATAGGGCTAAAATCGTACACGCTGCAATTTTCTGTTCCACTGTGGCCTGTAGTTACAATGACCATCAGTTTGATGGTGATGAAGGTAGGCATTAACCCAGTGGTGTATTCACTAGGAAGCAACCGGAAGCAAATAGACCAAAACTGGGAGGGACTACCTGAACTTGTCCAATAAGAAATGCTTGTTTCGTGTTCCGTTGGTTTTACTACTGCGTGCAGTAATGTGAACCCAGGGTGACCCTGTTTAACCTGGAGGTCAAAGGTTATCGCTGGGGTTCAAGGAACAGGTGCTCAAGACAGTGTGGCCTATTCCTCTCACTGCTAAAGACCTGTGAACGCTCTCTCCCTCACCACATATATGAATATAGATGAACTGAGGGGCCTTGAATGCTGAAATTGATGACTGTCATGTGAATTTCTATCTCTAATTCAACCTAAGCTTGAATCATTACCAGAGGTTGTAAGGCTCTGGTTTTAATCATCAATGATTCAAGGTCCACAACTCACAAGTCTTATCTGTATTTTTATTCATGGAGAGAGCTCTCCTGCCAATGACACAAACAGACGATTTTATACCTCCTGGACTTGACTCCTCCCACCTTTAGGTGACTTTTCTAAACAGTTTCCCGCCTTCCCCCTTGAATGTTTAGTACCGCCCCCTCTGTTAGTGGGTTGACACTACATGATAATTCTAACATTTATACTGTGTTTGGGGTGAAATCCTTTAGTCATTATTCTTAAAATCCAAATTAATCTAACAATGACACACTGGGTAAGGTTGTTTTATTCAGGGTATGAACTGCATGTTGATTATGTCACACTAATGCAGGGTTTCCCAAACTCGGTCCTCAGGACCCCAGGTTTTTTGCCCTAGCATTACACAGCTGATTCAAATGATCAACTAGCCATCAAGCTTTGATAATTGAAATCAGCTGTGTAGTGTTAGGGCAAAAATCGGAGCCATATGAAGCCAAAATGTAGGAGCCATATGTTACTTTCCTCTTAACAAAAAAATACATGGCAGAGCAATGCCATGACCTGTGCTTATGTTAATACTGTACTAGCGATCTGAACATATTGTTGGCATTCAGTGACTTCTCTTTAGTCAGTGTTTACCTCGTTAGTGCACACCGTAGAAATACGTTTTGCGATAAATAGTTTTGCAGTGAAAACAAGATTTTCCATTGGACAAATTCAGGTAGGTCTGTCCGCGTGTCATCCTGTTTGCTTCCGTTTGGATCCTAGTGAATACACCCCTGGCGTACTGACTGTCCATCTCGTTTCTCTCACTGCCATGTAAGGAGAGCTGGGTCAGCTCTTCACACTACTCCAGTGTAACTCCAGTGACATGCTGCAGGGCTGATTGTGCACGGGCGGCTTCAGGCACCCTTAGTGCCTCTCACAACTCACATCTGGCTGTCTTTGAGGCACTTAGATGGGCCCATTGAGGCCCTTAGTCAAGCCCCCTTGTCCCTTAGCGAACACCCATGGCTGGAGACCGACATGCTGATCTGATTATATCATTGGCTACTGATCTAAAATAGCCCTAGCTTTGTTTGCTCTGTCTTTAGGGGTTTGTTGTATTGCCAAACCATCCTCCACCTTGTCAGATAATGTAGTTACTGCTAGATTGATCCTCGACTAACCTGTACCGGTACCCCCTGTATATAGCCTTGTTGTTATTTTATTGTGTTAATTGTTATTTAATTTTTTACTTTAGTTTATTTAGTACATATTTTCTTAACTCTATTTCTTGAACTGCAATGTTGGTTAAGGGCTTGTAAGTAAGCATTTCACGGTAAGGTCTCCACCTGTTGTATTCGGCGCATGTGACAAATAACATTTGATTTGATTGGAGCGACAGGCCGTTATGGCCTCACCAGCAAAATATCCCATCTCTGTTCCTGGAGGAAGTTGCTTGGACCTATTTCTCAGCATTTGTTCAGATCAGGTTACTTACCGCTCTCAACGACATAACAGGGCATGAAATGGACCCAATCCGTTCCTCGCAGAAAGCAAATTTGTGGTTGAAAAAAACCTCTCCTTAGCAGGATGCTGGCAGACTCACCAGAATTCCACTCTTTGCGGCTGTAGCTATTCTGATGAAGACTCTTACTATAGGCTAGTGTTTCCCATACCTAGCTCTGTTCTCCCTCAGGCCAGATTTTGGCTTCCATTGTTTTCAATTGACAAGTTTGTTACCTTATGGTCATGTGTAGCTCAATTGGTAGTGTGTGGATCTTACAACGCCAGTGTCGTGGGTTCGATACCCACTGGGGCCACCCATAAGAAAATGAAGGCTATGCACGCACTACTGTAAGTCGCTTTGGTCAGATAAATGGCATATTATTATATGTCAGGGAGCATGGATGTGATTTCAGGGCCTTTTGAAAGACTACCAGAGGGTAAAGTTCTCCTCTACACCATCAGAGGGCCCAGGGTAGCATCTGGACATCTGCCTGACCTGCCTCCTCCCTTCACCCCTCTCCATCCTCCGTCATCTTCCCATCTCCTCCCGCCCTCCTCCCTTCACCCCATCCCAGCCTCCAGTAACCCTCTCCGTCATCTCACCCCCCTGCTCACCCCTCTCCCATCCCAAGTCACTACACACCATCAACCTTCACCCATCTCCACATCCAGCCATCTACACCTCCTCCTAACCCCATCCATCCTCCAGCCATCCTAAACCCTCTCCTAACACCCCTTCCATCCTCCAGCATCTCTACCCCCTCCTCCGCCCTTACCCCTCTCCATCCTCCAGCATCTCACCCCTCTCCATCCCCAGCCATCTCCTCACCACCTACCCCTCTCTCCCATTCACACCTCTCCATCCTCCAGCATCTCTAACCCCCTCTCCTCCATTACACCCCTCTCCATCTCCAGCCATCTCTACCCCCTCTCCTCCCTTCACCCCTCTCCATCCTCCAGTCATCTCATACCCACCTTCCTCCTTAGTCATCAACCCGCTCCCTCCATCCCATCCACCCATCTCCCCCGCTCTTCAACCCCTCCACCTTCACCCTCTCCATCCTCCAGTCATCTCTACCCCCTCTCCTCCCTTCACCCCTCTCCATCCTCCAGTCATCTCTACCCCCTCTCCTCCCTTCACCCCTCTCCATCCTCCAGTCATCTCTACCCCCTCTCCTCCCTTCAGGCTAGCCTGTAGATTACTAGATTATAGATTACTATACATATTTAATGATCTCATTATAGTCCTTACCCCCCATTAACTGTCTACCAAGTACCTTTCCCATCAGATCTTCATCCTTGTCGCCTACTGTAGGTCTATATGATTAATCATTTACCAAGTATTTTGTACATTCGTTTTAATTCAGGATCAGTGTTGCTGATGTAGCTCAGTTGTAGGGATGTAGCTCAGTTGGTAGAGCATGGCGTTTGCAACGCCAGGGTTGTGGGTTCGTTTCCCACGGGGGGCCAGTATGAAAAATTAATAAAAAATAAAATAGATTATAATAATGTATGCACTCACTTAACTGTAAGTCGCGCTGGATAAGAGCGTCTGCTAAATGACTAAAATTTTTAAAAAATGTGTAGGTCCTATGGCTTTTAGATATGGAATTGCTGTCGGGCTGTAAAATTATAAGCCTTGTACTAGTAAGCCTTGTCCAATCCATAATGCCAATAGGACAGGAGCCCATCTCCTGATTCTGTAGCGTGGGGCAGCTTGATGTACAAGCACACCCCCTGGACAGGACGCTAGTCTGCCGCAGGGCCTTTCATAGGAAAATAGATTTAGTAGGAATCTAGACCTATTATGGTTGTTTACAGTCTAAGCTGTACACGTGAACCAAGTTTCATGCTTTTATGAAAATGCTAATGACCCAAAATGTGCATTCTCCTGGACTAATAGTGTTGTTCAGTGAAGGTTATAGAGACCGAATGAGGACTGGGATGTGATGTGTATTTACCAGTCAGAGCAAGGCTGCAGTAGAGCAGCCCTCCCAGCGGGAGGGGGAGGTTAAAGGACGTTGCCATGGCATTGCAGTGGAGGCTAATTGAATGTGAAGGCCCTATATGGGCGTCCGCGGCTCTCTGGTGCCCATCATCCTCAGAACACGACACAGCCTCCTCCAACTCTCTATCGCTCAATCTCTCGTGCGCTTGTTCTCGTGAGATGACGCTGTGACGTCTGTGTAGGCCCACTGGGTCCAGGCAAGGCATGGATTGATGAAACTCATGGCTTTTTTCTCTCTCGCTCCTATCTCACCCTTGCCACCCCTCTTTCCCAACAGGAACTCAAGCCCCAGAGTCACTATAACCATGGCTACAGTGAGAATGTGGGGCGCAAGAGCCACGTGGATGACTACAGTACCTGGGACATCGTCAAAGCCACGCAGTGAGTACCCACGCACCGCTGGGTGTGTGTTTGCGCGTAAAGCTTGGCCAGTGTGGTTAAAGGTATGCAAGTAATGTGGGCTGGAGAGACCTTTTCCTCATTCTACAACTGGTTTTAACTATACCCCAACAGGAAGTGTTTTTATCTTACTTGTATAACAGGGCAAACATTATTTACGTTATTCTCCAGCACGTAGGCCTAACTGCTTGAGAAAGTGCTGCAGCATCCAAGCGGCTCCCCAGACGTGGCTAAGAGATGCTGGCATTTCAGCTCAAGGCTCTCCCAGTTAAATGTGAGAGACTGTACAGCTATTATGTGATTCCCCCAGTGTTCCTAAATCTATGTTAACTTTCCTCCTGAAGAGGGTTTACAGCCGGGAATGAGTTTACAGTAGAGAGCAGACCTGGCTAGGTCAAATACATATTAGTCTCCCAGTAGGTCAAGTATTTGACATGCGCTCAATTTAGTTTGCCCTCTTACAATGGAACCAAAGGAATAGTCCCCAAAGTGTAAACCCCAAGCTAAATACATTTAACTATTTGAAAGTATTTCCGGATCTGTACACAGATTACAGTTAGTTTGTATGGCTGAGAAATGTGACCCCAGATCGGCTGTTAGAGAAACCTTTAAGCACCTCTAACATTGACATCCAGTGTGGAAAACAACCTCAAGCTGTCACCTTATCAGCCTTGTTGTCATGTCCTATCACTGCTGTAGACTAGTGGCTATCGATCCCTGCTCCAGGTCATATTACTGCTGTAGACTAGTGGCTATCGATCCCTGCTCCAGGTCATATTACTGCTGTAGACTAGTGGCTATCGATCCCTGCTCCAGGTCATATTACTGCTGTAGACTAGTGGCTATCGATCCCTGCTCCAGGTCATTTCACTGCTGTAGACTAGTGGCTATCGATCCCTGCTCCAGGTCATATCACTGCTGTAGACTAGTGGCTATCAATCCCTGCTCCAGGTCATATTTACTGCTGTAGACTAGTGGCTATCGATCCCTGCTCCAGGTCATATCACTGCTGTAGACTAGTGGCTACGATCCCTGCTCCAGGTCATATCACTGCTGTAGACTAGTGGCTATCGATCCCTGCTCCAGGTCATATCACTGCTGTAGACTAGTGGCTATCGATCCCTGCTCCAGGTCATATCACTGCTGTAGACTAGTGGCTATCGATCCCTGCTCCAGGTCATATCACTGCTGTAGACTAGTGGCTATCGATCCCTGCTCCAGGTCATATTCACTGCTGTAGACTAGTGGCTATCGATCCCTGCTCCAGGTCATATCACTGCTGTAGACTAGTGGCTATCGATCCCTGCTCCAGGTCATATCACTGCTGTAGACTAGTGGCTATCGATCCCTGCTCCAGGTCATATCACTGCTGTAGACTAGTGGCTATCGATCCCTGCTCCAGGTCATATCACTGCTGTAGACTAGTGGCTATCGATCCCTGCTCCAGGTCATATCACTGCTGTAGACTAGTGGCTATCGATCCCTGCTCCAGGTCTATCACTGCTGTAGACTAGTGGCTATCGATCCCTGCTCCAGGTCCTATCACTGCTGTAGACTAGTGGCTATCGTCCCTGCTCCAGGTCCTATCACTGCTGTAGACTAGTGGCTATCGATCCCTGCTCCAGGTCCTATCACTGCTGTAGACTAGTGGCTATCGTCCCTGCTCCAGGTCCTATCACTGCTGTAGACTAGTGGCTATCGATCCCTGCTCCAGGTCCTATCACTGCTGTAGACTAGTGGCTATCGATCCCTGCTCCAGGTCCTATCACTGCTGTAGACTAGTGGCTATCGATCCCTGCTCCAGGTCATATCACTGCTGTAGACTAGTGGCTATCGATCCCTGCTCCAGGTCATATACTGCTGTAGACTAGTGGCTATCGATCCCTGCTCCAGGTCCTATCACTGCTGTAGACTAGTGGCTATCGATCCCTGCTCCAGGTCATATCACTGCTGTAGACTAGTGGCTATCGATCCCTGCTCCAGGTCCTATCACTGCTGTAGACTAGTGGCTATCGATCCCTGCTCCAGGTCATATCACTGCTGTAGACTAGTGGCTATCGATCCCTGCTCCAGGTCATATCACTGCTGTAGACTAGTGGCTATCGATCCCTGCTCCAGGTCATATCACTGCTGTAGACTAGTGGCTATCGATCCCTGCTCCAGGTCATATCACTGCTGTAGACTAGTGGCTATCGATCCCTGCTCCAGGTCCTATCACTACTGTAGACTAGTGGCTATCGATCCCTGCTCCAGGTCCTATCACTGCTGTAGACTAGTGGCTATCGATCCCTGCTCCAGGTCATATCACTACTGTAGACTAGTGGCTATCGATCCCTGCTCCAGGTCCTATCACTGCTGTAGACTAGTGGCTATCGATCCCTGCTCCAGGTCCTATCACTGCTGTAGACTAGTGGCTATCGATCCCTGCTCCAGGTCATATCACTGCTGTAGACTAGTGGCTATCGATCCCTGCTCCAGGTCCTATCACTGCTGTAGACTAGTGGCTATCGATCCCTGCTCCAGGTCATATCACTGCTGTAGACTAGTGGCTATCGATCCCTGCTCCAGGTCCTATCACTGCTGTAGACTAGTGGCTATCGATCCCTGCTCCAGGTCATATCACTGCTGTAGACTAGTGGCTATCGATCCCTGCTCCAGGTCATATCACTGCTGTAGACTAGTGGCTATCGATCCCTGCTCCAGGTCCTATCACTGCTGTAGACTAGTGGCTATCGATCCCTGCTCCAGGTCATATCACTGCTGTAGACTAGTGGCTATCGATCCCTGCTCCAGGTCATATCACTGCTGTAGACTAGTGGCTATCGATCCCTGCTCCAGGTCCTATCACTGCTGTAGACTAGTGGCTATCGATCCCTGCTCCAGGTCCTATCACTGCTGTAGACTAGTGGCTATCGATCCCTGCTCCAGGTCCTATCACTGCTGTAGACTAGTGGCTATCGATCCCTGCTCCAGGTCCTATCACTGCTGTAGACTAGTGGCTATCGATCCCTGCTCCAGGTCATATCACTGCTGTAGACTAGTGGCTATCGATCCCTGCTCCAGGTCATATCACTGCTGTAGACTAGTGGCTATCGATCCCTGCTCCAGGTCCTATCACTGCTGTAGACTAGTGGCTATCGATCCCTGCTCCAGGTCATATCACTGCTGTAGACTAGTGGCTATCGATCCCTGCTCCAGGTCATATTACTGCTGTAGACTAGTGGCTATCGATCCCTGCTCCAGGTCATATTATTGTAAACACCAATACCCCATCATGTCAAAGTGGAATTTTGTTATCAGACGTTTTACAAATGAATAAAAAAGGAAAATCTGAAATGTCTTGAGTCAATTTGTTATGGCAAGCCTAAATAAGTTCAGGAGTAAAAATGTGCTCAACAAGTCACATAAGTTGCATGGGCTCTGTGTGCAATAATAGTGTTTAACCAGATTTTTGAATGACTACCTCCTCACTGTACCCCACACATACAATTATCTATAAGGTCCCTCAGTCGAGCAGTGAATATCAAAAACAGATTCAACCACAAAGACCAGGGAGGTTTTCCATTGCCTCGCAAAGAAGGGCACATATACGTAGATTGGTAAAAATAAAAAAACAGACATTGAATATCCCTTTGAGCATGGTGAAGTTATTAATTACACTTTGGATGGTGTATCAATACACCCAGTCACTACAAAGATACAGGCGTCCTTCCTAACTCATTCCCAGAGAGGAAGAAAACCACTCAGGGATTTCACCATGAGGTCAATGGTCACTTTAAAACAGTTACAGAGATGAATGATTGTGATAAGAGAACTGAGGAAGGATCAACAACATTGTAGTTACTCCACAATACTAACCTAATTGACAGAGTGAAAAGAAGGAAGCCTGTACAGAATACAAATATTTCAAAACATGCATCCTGTTTGCAACAAGGCACTAAAGTAATACTGCAAAAGAAAATTGCAAAGCAATTAACTTTTCGTCCTGAAATATAAAGTGTTATGTTTGGGGCAAATCCAATACAACACATTACTGAGTACCACTCTCCATATTTTCAAGCATAGTGGTGGCTGCATCATGTTATGGGTACAGTGGCTTGCGAAAGTATTCACCCCCCTTGGCATTTTTCCTATTTTGTTGCCTTACAACCTGGAATTAAAATTGATTTTTTTTTTTGGGGGGGGGGGTTGTATAATTTGATTTACACAACTCACTTTGAAGATGCAACATATTTTTTCTTGTGAAACAAAGAAATAAGACAAAAAAAAACAGGACTTGAGCGTGCATAACTATTCACCCCCCAAAAGTCAATACTTTGTAGCAATTACAGCTGCAAGTCTCTTGGGGTATGTCTCTATAAGCTTGGCACATCTAGCCACTGGGATTTTTGCCCATTCTTCAAGGCAAAACTGCTCCAGCTCCTTCAAGTTGGATGGGTTCTGCTGGTGTACAGCAATCTTTAAGTCATACCACAGATTCTCAATTGGATTGAGGTCTGGGCTTTGACTAGGCCATTCCAAGACATTTAAATGTTTCCCCTTAAACCACTCGAGTGTTGCTTTAGCAGTATGCTTAGGGTCATTGTCCTGCTGGAAGGTGAACCTCATTCCCAGTCTCAAATCTCTGGAAGACTGAAACAGGTTTCCCTCAAGAATTTCCCTGTATTTAGCGCCATCCCTTATTCCTTCAATACTGACCAGTTTCCCAGTCCCTGCCGATGAAAAACATGGATGGTGTTCTCGGGGTGATGAGAGGTGTTGGGTTTGCACCAGACATAGCGTTTTCCTTGATGGCCAAAAAGCTCAATTTTAGTCTCATCTGACCAGAGTACCTTCTTCCATATGTTTGGGGAGTCTCCCACATGGCTTTTGGCGAACACCAAAGGTATTTGCTTATTTTTTTCTTTAAGCAATGGCTTTTTTCTGGTCACTCTTCTGTAAAGCCCAGCTCTGTGGAGTGTACGGCTTAAAGTGGTCCTATGGAAATATACTCCAATCTCTGCTGTGGAGCTTTGTAGCTCCTTCAGGGTTATCTTTGGTCTCTTTGTTGCCTCTGATTAATGCCCTCCTTGCCTGGTCCGTGAGTTTTGGTGGGCGGCCCTCTCTTGGCAGGTTTGTTGTGGTGCCATATTCTTGCCATTTTTTAATAATGGATTTAATGCTGATCCGTGGGATGTTTCAAAGTTGCTGATTTTTTTATTTTATTTATAACCCAACCCTGATCTGTACTTCTCCACAACTTTGTCCCTGACCTGTTTGGAGAGCTCCTTGGTCTTCATGGTGCCGCTTGCTTGGTGGTGCCCTTGCTTAGTGGTGTTGCAGACTCTGGGGCCTTTCAGAACAGGTGTGTGTATATATACTGAGATCATGTGACAGATCATATGACAGTTAAATTGCACACAGGTGGACTTTATTTAACTAATTATGTGACTTCTGAAGGTAATTGGTTGCACCAGATCTTATTTAGGGGCTTCATAGCAAAGGGGGTGAATACATATGCACGCACCACTTTTACGTTTATTTATTTTGTAGCAAGTTTGGACTATTTTGTGTATGTCCATTACATGAAATCCCAATAAAAATACATTTAAATTACAGGTTGTAATGCAACAAAATAGGAAAAACGCCAAGGGGGATCAATTATTTTGCAAGGCACTGTATGCTTGTAATTGTTAAAGGACTGGGAGTTTTTCAGGATAAAAAATAAACGGAATGGAGCTAAGCACAGGCAAAATCCTAGTGGAAAACCTGGTTGTCTGCTTTCCACCAGACACTGAGAGATGAATTCACCTTTCAGCAGGACAATAACCTAAAACACAAGGCCAAATCTACACCGGAGTTGCTTACCAAGAAGACTGTGGATGTTCCTGAGTGGCAGTGTTACAGTTTTGACTTAAATCTACTTGAAAATCTGGTCTTCTAACAATGATCAACAACCTATTTGTCAGAGCTTGAAGAATTTTGAAAAGAATAATGGGCAAATGTTGCAAAATCTAGGTGTTGAAAGCTCTTAGAAACTTACCCAGAAAGACTCAACGCTGTAATTGCTGCCAAATGTGATTCTAACATGTATTGACTCGGGTGTGAATACTTATGTAAATTAGATATTTTATTTCATTCCATTAAATTTGCATACATTTATAAAAACATGTTGTTATTATGGGTTATTGTGTGTAGATGGGTGAGAAATATATTTAATCGATTTTTGAATTCATTCTCTAACACAACAAAATGTGGAATAAGTCTAGGGGTATGAATACTTTCCTAAGGCACTGTATAAATATGTTGTCATAAATGTGAGTATGGTGCAAAGTGCAGACATAGGTCTAGGTCTCCCACTGGAGTAGAATAGTCTGACTGACAAACAAAGAAGGCCTTGTGTTTCTTTTATTGAAGAAAACCTATATAAAGACACTTCATCCTCATGATTTGAGGGTTAATTTATGTGCTGTGTTAACTGAAGGACAGAAAAAGCTATGATGGCAAGGGATACTGTTAAAGGCAACGTGTGTGTGTGAACCGTGTGTGTGTTGAGCCTATTCTAGCCTTGTCTACCTGCATTCTCCAGGTATGGGATCTTTGAGCGCTGCAGAGAGCTGGTGGAGGCGGGCTATGACGTTCAGCAGCCGGACAAAGAGAACGTCACACTCCTGCACTGGGCCTCCATCAACAATAGAATAGACTTGGTCAAGTGAGTGACACACAGACACACACACACAAAAGAACCCAATGCCCTGGATCTCATCTCACTATTCAACTGTCTTACATGTGATTTATGAGTTGCAGTAAACCTACATGTACACGTGAAACGCTATTCCCAACACCCACCTATGGGATGTTTCTCCCAGTCAGATTGGATCTCATGCAAGCATACTGTCCTATGTCCCTAAACTCACATACTCATCACACAGGACATAGTCCCTAGAACCTAACTACAGTCCTATAGCCCTAAACTCACATACAGTCCTATATCCCTAAACTCACTAACAGTCCTATATCCCTAAACTCACATACAGTCCTATAGCCCTAAACTCACTAACAGTCCTATAGCCCTAAACTCACATACAGTCCTATAGCCCTAAACTCGCATACAGTCCTATAGCCCTAAACTCACATACAGTCCTATAGCCCTAAACTCACATACAGTCCTATAGCCCTAAACTCACATACAGTCCTATAGCCCTAAACTCACATACAGTCCTATAGCCCTAAACTCACATACAGTCCTATAGCCCTAAACTCACATACAGTCCTATAGCCCTAAACTCACATACAGTCCTATATCCCTAAACTCACTAACAGTCCTATATCCCTAAACTCACATACAGTCCTATAGCCCTAAACTCACTAACAGTCCTATAGCCCTAAACTCACATACAGTCCTATAGCCCTAAACTCGCATACAGTCCTATAGCCCTAAACTCGCATACAGTCCTATAGCCCTAAACTCGCATACAGTCCTATAGCCCTAAACTCGCATACAGTCCTATAGCCCTAAACTCGCATACAGTCCTATAGCCCTAAACTCACATACAGTCCTATAGCCCTAAACTCACATACAGTCCTATAGCCCTAAACTCACATACAGTCCTATAGCCCTAAACTCACATACAGTCCTATAGCCCTAAACTCACATACAGTCCTATAGCCCTAAACTCACATACAGTCCTATAGCCCTAAACTCACATACAGTCCTATAGCCCTAAACTCACATACAGTCCTATAGCCCTAAACTCACATACAGTCCTATAGCCCTAAACTCACATACAGTCCTATAGCCCTAACGCCTCGATCACACCGACAGTGTCATTGCGTTTTGGTACATCCAGAAGTACATTCATTTTCAATGGATCGCTGCGTTTGCCTTGCAGCATTGCATTGCAGAGGCAGTTGCAGTGCATTCTGTGTGGTGCATACGTTGGATTTATCAAGGGATGCGTCATATTGTATGTGTAGATGGCTTGACAGAAATGGTAGCAGAAGGTGAATGTTGAACTTTTTTTGCACACATATCCAGATGATGCTGCGTACCATTGTGCGCAGTGACGCTGTAGGTGTGGTCGAGTCGTATACTCACATACTCACACACAGGACATAGGCCTGCATGGTCCTATACATTAGTGAAAACATTTTGCAACAGAAAACTAGTTTCTTATAGGACAAGTTCAGTTAGTCCCTCCCTCCCTGTTTGTTAGCTTCTGTTTGGTCCCTAGTGAAGTGGACCCAGGTGTGAGTGAATGCACTCATGCTACTGTGCTGTCTTTACCATACCATTGTGGTGCAGAGTGACGTCCTGCAACACACACACTGTACATTACAGGACTGAAACATTGCCAGAACCATGGTCCCTCTGTAGAAGAATAGAATCCCAAACCATTCTAATACAGCATAGCAGGGAGCAGAGAGAACAAGTTCCTGGATGTCTGCTAAGGTCTGAGCAATCAATTCCATTGAAAGGGCAGACACCCTCTTAATACGTTATATTCCTGGAGATCCTGATTCAATAGGAATAAAGCTGAATTTGTCCATCTGTTTTATCTCACTGCCTCAACAATCTAGTCTTTTCACCGCCTGTAGTTGTGTATGTGGGCTAAATGTATTTCTGACTGTGCCTCTGTCTGTAGGTACTACATATCGAAGGGGGCGATGGTGGACCAGTTGGGAGGTGACCTCAACTCCACTCCACTGCATTGGGCCACAAGGTAAGAGTGACACCAGTAAATGAGGCATTAACAGACTCTGGTTCAGTCTGCTTTCCCGGACCAAGCTTGACCAGCAGTCCCAAAACGTTAGGTCCTGTTGGTTATGTTGACGTGTAGACACGACCACCTAGAGATAAAAGGGAAAGGTTATATACTGTACGAAGTAGAGATATTGTTTCCTGTAGACTCTCTCCTTTCCACTGTGTGGGTGTCATGGGGCGTGTTTCTGCTAGTCCTGTTCCCAGGAGTCACACGATACCTTCAGGGTTGTATGAACACCCAGTACTACCTCTCCTCCTCGCCCTGTCAGAGAGCTCTCTACTGCATTATTCATATGATCAGGGACCCCATACTTAGCCAGGGCTCACGGCTTTGTCAGCAACCCTCCCCTCCCTGCTAGTGACCTTTCACACTAGATAGGAGTGTAGCCCATCTCTCGGACCAGTAACACTTTCTATATGCGATTTATCTGTAGTATTGTGGATATAAGGACTGAATTGCAATGTTGTTGAGGATTGTGTTTGGATAAGTAGCTAGTGCAGCAATCTTCTTATTAAACCATCTCTCAATTGGATGTAGTATCTACGTTTCATTTGCATTACATTTTAGTCATTTAGCAGACGCTGTTATCCAGAGTTACATGAGTAGTTAGGGTTAAGTGCCTTGCTCAAGGGCACATCGACAGGTTTTTCACCTAGTCAGATCAGGGATTCAAACCGTTTCCTATCTACAAAACCCCCAGAGACTTTACATTTGGATATTGGTGCAATCTGTCATTTCCATTTCTGCTGTTAATAATGCTATGTTAATACGGGGGTTTGGCAAGTTTCTACTGTGCTGCAAATGAAAGTTACAGATTGCTCCTTTAAACAAAACAAAACCCAGAAGCATGTATAAATGCTAATACCACGCAATACCAGTTAGTTCTGGTGCTCATCAACATAATCATATTGTGTGTGTGTCCACAGACAGGGCCACCTCTCCATGGTGGTGCAGCTGCTGAAGTATGGGTCAGACCCCTCGCTCATCGACGGAGAGGGCTGCAGCTGTGTCCACCTGGCCGCCCAGTTCGGACACACCTCCATCGTGGCTTACCTCATCGCCAAGGGGCAGGTACGCAGAGCGGACCAACCCCTAACCCTGTGTACTTGTGGAGATATGAGAGGCTTTGATAGGTGTAAGCAATATTGTGAAAATTCTGTTTAGCCTATTAGAGGGCAATGTGGAGATATTACCATATTTCTTCAACCTATCAAATCCTCTCAGATCTCCACAAGTGCGTAGGGGCTAGGGGTTGATTTGGGATTGGCCATGAGGATATGGAACTTGCATCCATTGGATTTACTGTGACATCAATCTTGTTATATTTATTCTGATCTCAGCAGAACTGAAATAGTGTTCTTTCATACTTTCAAAGCTTTTCTCATTTATTCAAATCACAGAAGTTGTTGTTGTCAGCCACCAGGGGGTGTTGTTTCATTAGTTTTCCACAGCTGCATTCACATTGGGAGCGCTGCTAGGTTTTTCCTGGATCTGTTCAGTAGCTCAAACATCTTCAAAAAAGCAGAGTGTCGGTCTTCTCTGTCTATTGGGGGTTTGTGACCATGTGCTCTTTCTCCCTCTCCTCCTATAGGATGTGGACATGATGGATCAGAACGGCATGACTCCCTTGATGTGGGCAGCTTACAGGACACACAGGTGTGTGTGTGTGTGCCATGCATGCCATGCTGCCGTTCGCATGGATGCCGTGCCACGCGTTCACCCATATCCTTCACCTGTGGGATCGGCTGAGGGGTGGTGGGGGGGTGCTGAGGAGTATTTCTGTCTGTAATTTAAAAAATAATTCTGATTGGCTGTGCCTGGCTCCCCAGTGGGTGGGCCTATGCCCTCCCAGGCCCACTCATGGCTGCACCCCTGCCCAGTCATGTGAAATCCATAGATTATGGCCTAATTTATTTATTTCAATATGAACTGTAACTCAGTAAAATCTTTGAAATTGTTGCATGTTGCGTTTTATATTTTTGTTCAGTATAGATACACAACATTTATAAATGGATCAAAAGACAGATAAGACTGATACTAAAAGCACAAAGAACAATGTGCAGTGGGCTAATACACTGGACTTCAACTGTGTCATTAATTAGAGCACATTAAACTACGACCCTTTGAGTCTGATAAATGGACAATAAAGGCTTTGAACATGACCTTTGACCTTTGTCCCATCCCAACAGCGTGGACCCCACCCGGCTACTGCTGACCTTCAACGTGTCGGTCAACCTGGGTGACAAGTACCACAAGAACACGGCTCTGCACTGGGCCGTTTTGGCCGGAAACACCACCGTCATCACCCTGCTGCTGGACTCCAACTCCAACGTGGACGCACAGAACATCAAGGTGAGGGGGCTGTGCAGCTTATCTGGGGTCAGCTTTGTATCTCCCCCTAATTGTTAGGATTGAGGGAGGAGAAGCTGATCCTAGATCTGTACCTAGGGGGAAACTTCACCCCAGAGCCAGGCTATGTTACATAAGGCCCACATGTCTCCTACTAACCTTTGACCTGTAGAACATGCTTGTATCTTGTTACCTTTCATAGCTATCCTGTATCTCGTTACCTTTTATAGCTGTCCTGTATCCTGTTACCTTTCATAGCTATCCTGTATCTCGTTACCTTTTATAGCTGTCCTGTATCCTGTTACCTTTCATAGCTGTCCTGTATCCTGTTACCTTTCATAGCTGTCCTGTATCCTGTTACCTTTTATAGCTATCCTGTATCTCGTTACCTTTTATAGCCGTCCTGTATCCTGTTACCTTTCATAGCTGTCCTGTATCCTGTTACCTTTTTATAGCTATCCTGTTACCTTTCATAGCTGTCCTGTATATTGTTACCTTTCATAGCTGTCCTGTATCTTGTTACCTTTCATAGCTGTCCTGTTACCTTTTATAGCTATCCTGTTACCTTTCATAGCTATCCTGTATCTTGTTACCTTTCATAGCTGTCCTGTATCTTATCTTTTATAGCTGTCCTGTATCTTGTTACCTTTCATAGCTGTCCTGTATCTTGTTACCTTTCATAGCTATCCTGTTACCTTTCATAGCTGTCCTGTATTTTGTTACCTTTCATAGCTGTCCTGTATCTTGTTACCTTTCATAGCTGTCCTGTATCTTGTTACCTTTCATAGCTATCCTGTATCTCGTTACCTTTTATAGCTGTCCTATATCCTGTTACCTTTCATAGCTGTCCTGTATCCTGTTACCTTTCATAGCTGTCCTGTATCCTGTTACCTTTTATAGCTATCCTGTATCTCGTTACCTTTTATAGCTGTCCTGTATCCTGTTACCTTTCATAGCTTTCCTGTATCCTGTTACCTTTTATAGCAATCCTGTTACCTTTCATAGCTGTCCTGTATCTTGTTACCTATCATAGCTGTCCTGTATCTTGTTACCTTTCATAGCTGTCCTGTTACCTTTTATAGCTATCCTGTTACCTTTCATAGCTATCCTGTATCTTGTTACCTTTCATAGCTGTCCTGTATCTTATCTTTTATAGCTGTCCTGTATCTTGTTACCTTTCATAGCTGTCCTGTATCTTGTTAAATTTTATAGCTATCCTGTATCCTGTTACCTTTCATAGCTGTCCTGTATTTTGTTACCTTTCATAGCTGTCCTGTATCTTGTTACCTTTCATAGCTGTCCTGTATCTTGTTACCTTTTATAGCTATCCTGTATCCTGTTACCTTTCATAGCTGTCCTGTATTTTGTTACCTTTCATAGCTGTCCTGTATCTTGTTACCTTTTATAGCTGTCCTGTATCCTGTTACCTTTCATAGCTGTCCTGTATCCTGTTACCTTTTATAGCTGTCCTGTATCTTGTTACCTTTCATAGCTATCCTGTATCCTGTTACCTTTTATAGCTGTCCTGTATCCTGTTACCTTTTATAGCTGTCCTGTATCCTGTTACCTTTTAAAGCTATCCTGTATCTTGTTACCTTTCAGAGCTGTCCTGTATCTTATCTTTCATAGCTGTCCTGTATCTTGTTACCTTTCATAGCTGTCCTGTATCCTGTTACCTTTTATAGCTATCCTGTTACCTTTCATAGCTGTCCTGTATCTTGTTACCTTTCATAGCTGTCCTGTATCTTGTTACCTTTCATAGCTGTCCTGTTACCTTTTATAGCTATCCTGTTACCTTTCATAGCTATCCTGTATCTTGTTACCTTTCATAGCTGTCCTGTATCTTATCTTTTATAGCTGTCCTGTATCTTGTTACCTTTCATAGCTGTCCTGTATCTTGTTACCTTTCATAGCTGTCCTGTATCCTGTTACCTTTTATAGCTGTCCTGTATCCTGTTACCTTTCATAGCTGTCCTGTATCCTGTTACCTTTCATAGCTGTCCTGTATCCTGTTAGTTTTCATAGCTATCCTGTATCCTGTTACCTTTCATAGCTGTCCTGTATCTTGTTACCTTTCATAGCTATCCTGTTACCTTTCATAGCTATCCTGTATCCTGTTACCTTTCATAGCTGTCCTGTATCTTATCTTTTATAGCTGTCCTGTATCCTGTTACCTTTCATAGCTATCCTGTATCCTGTTACCTTTCATAGCTGTCCTGTATCTTATCTTTTATAGCTGTCCTGTATCTTGTTACCTTTCATAGCTATTCTGTATGCTGTTACCTTTCATAGCTATCCTGTATCCTGTTACCTTTCATAGCTGTCCTGCCATAACTTGAAAGGTGGAGCGTCAATATCCAGTGTGGCCAATTAGGATACCCGGATCACCATCAGTGTTTAGTGTCCATCCTCTAATCTTTCTCCTATCCTACTGTTTAGTGGTTATATAGATATAATAGATATATATATAATAGAGATCCAGAATTAATAGAGCTATTTCAATCTGTGGTTTTTCCTGTGTCCTCAGAAGTCCAGAAGTCCTATGATCCGGTACTACTATCTGTGAATCAGGCTCTCTATGTGTTAAATTGTTACTGTGGTGATTAGCTGGTTGTTACCATGGTGATTAGGTGGTTAAACTGTCCTCTGGATGTATCCCTCTGTTGTCCTCCAGGGTGAGACGCCGCTGGACCTGGCCAAGCAGAGGAAAAACGTCTGGATGGTCAACCATTTGCAGGAGGCCCGGCAGGCCAAGGGCTACGACAGCCCTGGCTACCTGAAGAAGCTGAAGATGGACAAGGTAGAGACCAGGGAGGAGACTGAGTGGACATACACAAGCATGCAGGCTTGCACGCACTCAGACTCGGACACACACACACACACTCACTCACGCACACACTTATTCGCGTAAGCATGTATGCAAACCCCCTCACACACACACACTCAAAAGATGGATAGGAACACACACACACACACACGTCACATGATTGTCCGCACAGTCTGTAGGATGAACCGTAGCACGTCCACTGTCAAGGCCTAAGTCTATCTCAGAATGACTTCTAGGTAAAACCAGACACGCAGTCTTCATTGTCCACCGGAGAGTTCCCTATACTAGCACATCCCTCCCAGTCTCCAGACTGTATCAAAACCCTCAGTGATATCACACAAGACCAAACTGTTCTCCAGACCCAACAAGGGCGCTTCAGGGTTAATACACCGGCCACCTTCATAATGGCCAAGTTCCAGGTCTTCTTTTTTGCAGTCGCACCGCACAGATGATCAGATCTCACAATGCCTGGAGAAGTGTTAAACGTTGCTGGAACCACATTACATTACATTTGGTCATTGATAGGATATTACATTATTTTGATATAGCAATAGTCTGAGATGTGCCGCTTGATTGTCAAGAACAATGTGTAGGGTGAAGTTGCCTTTAGATGCTGATCTTGGGTCAGTTTTACATTTCCTCCACTTATGGTTAAGTCTAAAGAGCCTTCCGCCACCTGTCTTTCCGGCCAATAATCCCAGACCCTAAAATAAGCACCTTCGGGCCTAATTGCTGCTTTCTTGTTGACGAGAGACATACAGACAAAGGCTAACACTCTATTTAGACCTCCTCTGGCCTCTGTGTCTTGAAGTAATTGCGCATCCAAGGTAGTGATTTCTTGGAGTCTGAGGAACCCAGCTGTTTGTCTGCACGGACAGACCAGAGGATTGTGTCAAGGCCCTAATCAGTGAATAAGGTGAAGTTGCCCCTAGACGGTGATCTTGGGTCAGTTCAGCATTTTCCCCACTAATAGTTAAGGTTGGGTTTGGGGCATTTGAAGCTGATCCTAGATCTGTACTTAACCCCAGAGCCCTAATCAGCACCTTTAAGTCCAGTGCGCTAACCACCCTTGCTCTCTGGGACAGGATGAGCACATAGCACCCATTAGTTACGCTTGTATCTTGTGTTTTTCAAAGTTTTGCTTCTTGACCTTGCATTTCTGTTGTCTTTCAAATTCATACGCTGTCGCACTGGACGATGTAGGTTGTCAAGGTACATCTTTAGACAGAACTCCAGAGGGAGGCCCCATTAGCTACTGTCACCCGGCCAAGCTAGGATGTGCTAGTGCCAGAGAGGTTTGGAAGTCTAGAGACTAAACTAGCAATCACTGCCACGAGATTCAGGTTAGTTGTTTCCATACTAGTTGTTTATAGGAAGTGATCCCTTGTTGAGTCTCAACGTTCTCTCACCTTTCTGGCGCCAGCAGGCAGTCTTGCAGGGATGTAGCACGACAATGTGAAAGCGTCTCTTGATGATCTAGTCTTATTTTTTATTTTTTTTCTTACTAGCTCTGACTCTGCTGAAATGTACTTCCTATGACTGGCCCACCTAGCTATCTTAAGATGAATGCACTAACTGTAAATCGCTCTAGATAAGAGTGTCTGCTAAATGACTAAAATGTAGTCTAGGTTAAAGTACTGTCCTCTGTAGAGTGTAGATGGTTGGTGAGTTTTGCTAGAGTCAAACACACTCGAGTCCTTGATGGCCATGGTGTCAGCAGGTTTTTGTTCCTCCCTTGCACTAAATTGATCAAGTCAGGTAATTGTTTTAGACCTGGAAAACCTTCCAAACCAATCAGACTCTTAACATAAAGGGTGAAAACCAGCTATAGACATAGCGGCCCCCCAGGAATTGATTACGGTTACGTCCCAAATCACACCCTATTCCCTATAGGCTTATGAGCCCTGGTCAAAAGTAGGGCACTATACAGGGAATAGGAAGCCATTTGGGAGGCAGCCTAAGAACCCCTGTGCTAGAACAATAGCTATCCAATCCCCTTTGGCTAGCTCTGGGCATGTTTACATCACTTTAATGGATGACCCTATAGTTACACCGTCAAGAGTGCTTCCCTGCCTTGCTGTTACAACCTCTCTCCTCTCCCTCTCCTCCTTCCCTCCCTCTATCTCTGGTCCTCCCCCTCCTCTCCTCCTTCTCTCCCTCTATCTCTGGTCCTCCCCCTCTCCCAGGAGTTCAGACAGAAGATCATGTTGGGGACCCCCTTCCTGGTGATCTGGCTGGTGGGCTTCATCGCTGACCTGGACATCGACTCCTGGCTCCTCAAGGGCCTGATGTACTGCGGCATGTGGGTCACTGTGCAGTTCCTCTCCAAGTACGTCACACACACACACACACCTTTGACGGTATCTCTTGCTATCAATGTAGCCGTGTTGTGCAACAAACACACACACACACACACCCTTCTGCAGCCCCATCAGGTTAGGGCTTGGTTTATTTCTCTCTAACATGAGCCATGCCAGCAGGTTAGGGCTTGCTTTATTTCTCTCTAACATGAGCCATGTCAGCAGGTTAGGGCTTGCTTTATTTCTCTCTAACATGAGCCATGTCAGCAGGTTAGGGCTTGCTTTATTTCTCTCTAACATGAGCCATGCCAGCAGGTTAGGGCTTGCTTTATTTCTCTCTAACATGAGCCATGCCAGCAGGTTAGGTCTTGGTTTATTTCTCTCTAACATGAGACATGCCAGCAGGTTAGGGCTTGCTTTATTTCTCTCTAACATGAGCCATGCCAGCAGGTTAGGGCTTGCTTTATTTCTCTCTAACATGAGCCATGCCAGCAGGTTAGGGCTTGCTTTATTTCTCTCTAACATGAGCCATGCCAGCAGGTTTGCTTTATTTCTCTCTAACATGAGCCATGCCAGCAGGTTAGGGCTTGCTTTATTTCTCTCTAACATGAGCCATGCCAGCATGTTAGGGCTTGCTTTATTTCTCTCTAACATGAGCCATGCCAGCAGGTTAGGGCTTGCTTTATTTCTCTCTAACATGAGCCATGCCAGCAGGTTAGGGCTTGCTTTATTTCTCTCTAACATGAGCCATGCCAGCAGGTTAGGGCTTGCTTTATTTCTCTCTAACATGAGCCATGCCAGCAGGTTAGGGCTTGCTTTATTTCTCTCTAACATGAGCCATGCCAGCAGGTTAGGGCTTGCTTTATTTCTCTCTAACATGAGCCATGCCAGCAGGTTAGGGCTTGCTTTATTTCTCTCTAACATGAGCCATGCCAGCAGGTTAGGGCTTGCTTTATTTCTCTCTAACATGAGACATGCCAGCAGGTTAGGGCTTGCTTTATTTCTCTCTATCTGGATGACTGTGATATGTAGTTCTAAAGGTTTTGTGGAGTGTGAGATTTGATGTTTTTTACTGCTGAATTCTAACAGTGATTCTCTCTCTTCTCTCTCTTCTTCCTCCCCAGGTCTTTCTTTGACCACTCCATGCACAGCGCCCTGCCCCTGGGAATCTACCTGGCAACCAAGTTCTGGATGTACGTGACCTGGTTCTACTGGTTCTGGAATGATATCCTTCACAATAAGAGTCTCCTGGTTTCCTTGGCCTTTTCTCATTGCAAGCGTGATACATCAGTAAGCTGCTGTGCTGTACAACGGGGCTTTCGTTCACAGCGCAACATGGAAAGACAGCTGTGTGTGTCTATTCACCTCCTAAGAATCAATTATTTCATCAAGGAGGGAGTTGACTTCTGCGAATACTTGATTGATGGGTTTTGACTGAGAGCAAATGTGTATGAATACCTCCCCTGCGGCAATTGGTCCATTAGGGTGTCAGTCAAACTGCAGCCTATTCCAAACAGACAGATTGGCTTTCCCTTCTTCCATCTGGAACCCCTCTCGTCATGATCACTGGAGTGTGAGGCCAACTAAAGAGCGTTCACCTGCTCTGACTAGAATACAGAGAGCATTATAACACCCTCCAGGGCTCTTTCACTATTGTGTAAACGTTTGGCCCACAACAAGACGATGCAAATGTTTCAGTTGACGGCAGATTAATTATTTCTATATGCTATCCACCATTGCATTTGCGTCACAGATTACATCAGAGGCACTTGTGATGCAACCCTATTGGTTGCTTTGAGTTTGTTGATTATGACAACATTTAACATTTAAGTAATTTAGTAGACGCTCTTATCCAGAGCGACTTACAAATTGGGGCATTCAATTTAGGATAGCCACTGGGACAACCACACTTTTTTTTAATGGGGGAGGGGGGGGGTTAGAAGGATTACATTTACATTTTAGTCATTTAGCAGACGCTCTTATCCAGAGCGACTTACAGTTAGTGAATACATATTTTTTTTATACTGCCCCCCCGTGGGAATCGAACCCACAACCCTGGTGTTGCAAACGCTATGCTATATCAACTGAGCTACATCCCTGCCGGCCATTCCCTCCCCTATCCTGGACGACGCTGGGCCAATTGTGCGCCGCCCATGAGTCTCCCGGTCACGGCCGGCTGCAACAGAGCCTGGATTCGAACCAGGATCTCTAATGGCACAGTTAGCACTGCGATGCAGTGCCTTAGACCACTGCGCCAGTTGAGCATTTTCCCCACTAATGGTTAAGATTGGGGGAGGGGGAGCTGATCCTACCTAGTTGATCATCTGTACCCAGGGGAAACTTCACCCCGGAGCGGTCACAAACTCAAGCTGTCCCTCCTCATTCCAGTCCATCTGTGCCTCTTCGGGAAGTGGATGTTATGTAACTGAGGTGGTAACCTTGCCTGAGACCAGAAGACTCGCGTTACCTCTCGAGTTAATGCCTTGGCTGTAGCTCAGCAGGTTAACACAGTCTTGGCGTGCGCAGGAGACCGAGGTCCGTACCCAGTTGGTCACATGTAGTCTAAATGTCTATGATTGTTGTGATCTGGGTTGAATCTTATACAGCCATGGTGGTTGTGTGGTGGTTGTACGGTGGTTGTGAGGCAGCCATGCGACGTCTCTGCAATAGTAATCAGTGGAGGCGGCTTGGCCTTTGTCTAGACTTTGTGTCTGCATTGACTTCCAGGTGTGGGCTTGGTGTCTCTGGCTCTGTCTCCACCTGGTTCTCTCAGTCTGCAGCTGACTGGTTATCATTCAAAGCCTGCAGTTGAAATCAGATCATGTGTCTTGGGTGGAGCCCAAAGCGGTTGCCTTTTCAGCCCCAGCACGTATTTCCTTCTACATGGGACTCAAAGGAGAAAAGCTTTTCTCCTGAAAGTAGTTACAAGGACTGGGTCACCGCCACAGTTTTATTGTTACTGAAATAGTAGGAGACTGGGGAGGAGGAGAGAGTAGAAGTCTCTAATAGTAGGAGACTGGGGAGGAGGAGAGAGTAGAAGTCTATTAGTAGGAGACTGGGTAGGAGGAGAGAGTAGAAGTCTCTAATAGTAGGAGACTGGGGAGGAGGAGAGAGTAGAAGTCTATTAGTAGGAGACTGGGGAGGAGGAGAGAGTAGAAGTCTCTATTAGTAGGAGACTGGGGAGGAGGAGAGAGTAGAAGTCTCTAATAGTAGGAGACTGGGGAGGAGGAGAGAGTAGAAGTCTCTAATAGTAGGAGACTGGGGAGGAGGAGAGAGTAGAAGTCTATTAGTAGGAGACTGGGGAGGAGGAGAGAGTAGAAGTCTCTAATAGTAGGAGACTGGGGAGGAGGAGAGAGTAGAAGTCTCTAATAGTAGGAGACTGGGGAGGAGGAGAGAGTAGAAGTCTCTAATAGTAGGAGACTGGGGAGGAGGAGAGAGTAGAAGTCTCTAATAGTAGGAGACTGGGGAGGAGGAGAGAGTAGAAGTCTATTAGTAGGAGACTGGGGAGGAGGAGAGAGTAGAAGTCTCTAATAGTAGGAGACTGGGGAGGAGGAGAGAGTAGAAGTCTATTAGTAGGAGACTGGGGGAGGAGGAGAGAGTAGATGTCTCTATTAGTAGGAGACTGGGGAGGAGGAGAGAGTAGAAGTCTCTAATAGTAGGAGACTGGGGAGGAGGAGAGAGTAGAAGTCTCTAATAGTAGGAGACTGGGGAGGAGGAGAGAGTAGAAGTCTCTAATAGTAGGAGACTGGGGAGGAGGAGAGAGTAGAAGTCTCTAATAGTAGGAGACTGGGGAGGAGGAGAGAGTAGAAGTCTATTAGTAGGAGACTGGGTAGGAGGAGAGAGTAGAAGTCAAGTATGAATGTAGTCATTGTTGTCTCTAGTTGCCTGACAAGATGGATTCCTCCACTGAGCTGTCCCTGTAACATGCTCCTTTAAGGAGGACATTCAGTCTTCAGCCAGACGATGATGACTTGCAGTCAGAGGAGAGGTGGTGAGGAAAAACAGACTTCTCAGCACAGACTACCCTGCACCACACTGTATAGAGGTGTAGGGGGAGTTTGCCCCTAGACGCTGATCTCGGGTCAGTTTAGAATTTTCCCTATTAATGGTTACGGTTAGGATTGTGGGAGGGGAAGCTTGTCCTAGATCTGTACCTAAGAGAAATTTCACCCCGGGGCTGTATGGACAGTGTCAGAACACCATTAGTCTCCGTAAATCAGCATGCTTCATAAATGCTTGGCTTGACCCTTGAGCGTCAGCCATCTTGTGTAATACCCCTTCCTCCTAAGCCATTCCAGAGACTAATTGCTGCTACGGGGAGGGCCTACACAACGCCTCAAGGGAAACATTGAAATGTCGTCCATATGAGAATCTCCATCGATCACTGTAAGAATTACCGGCTCCATGCCAACAGTATCACGGCCCATTGATTTAGTGGGACGATAAGGACTTCCATGCATGCATCCCAAATGGCACCCTGTTCCCTTTGTAGTGTACTACTTTATATGGAAATTCACTTTGTTCCACTACACTAAATGGGAAATAATATGGTGCCATTTGGGACGCAGCTCCACGTAGTTCATTTAGAGAGTTTATCTTATGAAGTAGCTAAATAGACTTACAGAGGAAGAGGTAATTACAGCGCCCAGATTTCTTTGGTGATAATTCTACAGATTTATGACCTCATTCAGCCTTTAGAGACTGAAAGCGCTGTAGAGTATGGCTGAGACCCAAATAGCACACTATTTCCTATGTAGAGCTCTGGGGGGGCTCTGAGTTTCCTTCCTGGAATCTAGTTGAGGTTGTAACTCCCCACCCCCACTGTAATTGAGGATATCCTTCTTGACGCTACCAGCCCACAGATGTCCTTGTGTCCCTCTAACTCCCCTCAACCCACACACACCCTTATCACTAGATGGCCATAAACACTTTAAACAGCTCTTGTGGACACAATCATTAATGACGTTAAGTCAACTCCATAATCTAAAGTCTATTTGGTCAGTCAATCAGATATGTTTCTCTCCTGTATGGAATCAACATTCTAACTACACACTGTGTGTTTATGATTGGTTAAATGCACAAAGAAATGCCAATGTACCTTGGGTGTAGGCATTTCCTAAATACAGGAATAAAAAAAAAAAATTGTAAATACAATTCTGAAGTTGTAAATCCTAAGTAGGTTTATGTGATTGTTTCATTTGTAGTTCCTAATTACATGACTACAGGCCCTGTGAAAACTAAACCTGGGTTCTAGATAATAGAGAGATTGTATGGATCAACATTGGCATTTTAGGGTAAAGCCTAACCACTCCCTTTTGTTAGGCACACTCCGTTGCTTCTGTTGTATTTCCTGTACAAAGTATGACGTGTGTGTGTGACTCGGGACTCTGGTTGGGTGAGAGTATGAGTCAAGCTTCCACTGAGCTGCTTTCCTCGTAGGCTGGAGTGGGCGGAGGGCGAGTCTTTTTACGTCCCAAATGGCACCCAATTCCCTTTTATAGTGCACTACATGGTCAAAAGTAGTGCACTACATAGAGAATAGGGTGCCATTTGGGACTCACCCTGTCTGTCGGGATGATGTCACTATGGCTAGTACCAAGCCAACCCAGTCATCTAGGTCCAATGCAGCTGTTTTTAACTCTGTATCAAATCATTTCTGGGTAACAATTAAGTACCTTACTGTGATTTGTTTTTCAATAAAAATGGTCAAAAAGAATAGATAGCGTCTTAACAAATAGTAATTTCTCAAGCAAGAATTTTGATAGGACTGTCTGGGAGTGGTCTGAGTAGGGAAAACTGAAAACTAGCTGTTATTGGCAGAGAGGTTTGGAACTCTCTTTCTTATTGGACTATTAACTAAGTTACCACCTGGTGACATCACCAGGCAGGCCAAAACTCCATCCCACCAAAGCAGGCTGAAGTTTCAGGCAGTCTTTCTAAAAGGGCATTCTCATAATTTTCACAATTTCACAGTATTATTCAACCTCATCGTAAGGAAGCATATATAAAACACAGGAAAATCACTGGCCCTCTAAACTCTTAACTGTACTCATCATGTCCTCTGAAGAAAATGACTGACCCAGTGCTTTCATTGGTCAAGATGGGTGAAATGTACCAAGATGTTAAAGCTGTCATCATCATAATCATCATCATAATCATGTTTTGCCAGTGAGTAGTTCACTCTTGTCAGATAATTGTAGATTCATATGCATTTGCTGTCTGACCTTGTCCAAAGACTGCTCACAGGGTAGTGAAACCAATATATCATTGTGTTATTTGGGTGAACCTTCCCTTTAAGAGCTGTAGTCACCTTTCAGTCAATCAGCCATCCTCCTGAACTCCTCTGTACATCTCCCGTTCGCCACCGTCCATCTGCCTTTCCTCCTGAACAGTGTCGGTCTGTTCTACAACTTCGGCAAGTCCTGGAAATCAGACCCAGGGATCATCAAAGCCTCAGAGGAACAGAAGAAAAAGGTAAACGCTGCCACTACCATGACGCTGGTACTACCATGACGCTGGTACTACCATGACGCTTGTACTACCATGGCGCTGGTACTACCATGACGCTGGTACTACCATGACGCTTGTACTACCATGGCGCTGGTACTACCATGACGCTTGTACTACCATGACGCTGCCACTACCATGACGCTGGTACTACCATGACGCTTGTACTACCATGACGCTGGTACTACCATGACGCTTGTACTACCATGACGCTGGTACTACCATGACGCTGGTACTACCATGACGCTGGTACTACCATGACGCTTGTACTACCATGACGCTGCCACTACCTGGCCACGGTACCATGACGCTGGTCTACCATGACGCTGTACTACCATGACGCTGCACTACCATGACGCTTGTACCTACCATGGACCTGCCACTACCATGACGCTTGTACTACCATGACGCTACCACTACCCATGACGCTGGTACTTCCATGACGCTGGTGCTACCATGACGCTGGTGCTACCATGACGCTGGTGCTACCATGACGCTGGTGCTACCATGACGCTGGTACTACCATGACGCTGGTACTACCATACGCTTGTACTACCATGACGCTGCCACTACCATGACGCTGGTACTACCATGACGCTTGTACTACCATGACGCTGGTACTACCATGACGCTGGTACTACCATGACGCTTGTACTACCATGACGCTGCCACTACCATGACGCTGCCACTACCATGACGCTGGTACTACCATGACGCTTGTACTAACCATGGACGCTTGTACTACCATGACGCTGGTACTACCATGACGCTAGGCCTCACCATGACGCTGGTACTACCATGACGCTGGCCACTACCATGACGCTTGGTACTAAACCATACGCGGTACTACCATGACGCGGTACTACCATGACGCTGGTACTACCATGACGCTGGTACTACCATGACGCTGGTACTACCATGACGCTGGTACTACCATGACGCTTGTACTACCATGACGCTGCCACTACCATGACGCTTGTACTACCATGACGCTTGTACTACCATGACGCTGGTACTACCATGACGCCGGTACTACCCATGACGCTTCCACTACCCAACACACCACCATTTTGTTTTGAAATGGCAAGTAGAGTAAGGTGAGGTTGCCCATAGACACTGATCTTGGGTCAGTTTTGCCTTTTTGCCACTGATGGTGAAGCTGATCCTAGATCTGTACCTAAGAGAATTCCCCCCCCCCCCCCCCCCCCCCCCAGGGCATGGAAAGTGCATGTTGAGAATTTGATTTGAAAACTAGGCACATTGCACCATTTTTCTTTAGCGAATCACCATAAGGCTGGGACGCACAACAATGTTTGGCCCAGGGGCCCAGTGTTAGAGGCATCCACTCTCTCTCTCTCCCCACAGCTCTGGAAGTAGTGTCTCACTATCACACTGATGGAGTATAATAGGGTTTCCAGCTCTTTACTGACCCCAGCTCAATCCTAATTGTGTGGGATTGATGAGACGGCAAAAAATAGCCCCCATCGTTAGCGCTCTGCAGTACTAACCAGAGCGTGGTCCACTGGGCTGGGCATAGCCCCCATCGTTAGTGCTCTGCAGTGCTAACCAGAGCGTGGTCCACTGGGCTGGGCATAGCCCCCATCGTTAGTGCTCTGCAGTGCTAACCAGAGCGTGGTCCACTGGGCTGGGCATAGCCCCCATCGTTAGCGCTCTGCAGTGCTAACCAGAGCGTGGTCCACTGGGCTGGGCATAGCCCACATCGTTAGCGCTCTGCAGTGCTAACCAGAGCGTGGTCCACTGGGCTGGGCATAGCCCCCATCGTTAGCGCTCTGCAGTGCTTTCCAGAGCGTGGTCCACTGGGCTGGGCATAGCCCCCATCGTTAGCGCTCTGCAGTGCTAACCAGAGCGTGGTCCACTGGGCTGGGCATAACCCCCATCGTTAGTGCTCTGCAGTGCTAACCAGAGCGTGGTCCACTGGGCTAACCAGAGCTGGTCCCTGGGCTGGGCATAACCCCCATCGTTAGTGCTCTGCAGTACTAACCAGAGCGTGGTCCACTGGGCTGGGCATAGCCCCCATCGTTAGCGCTCTGCAGTGCTAACCAGAGCGTGGTCCACTGGGCTGGGCATAGCCCCCATCGTTAGCGCTCTGCAGTGCTAACCAGAGCGTGGTCCACTGGGCTGGGCAGCCGCCTCAGAAGCCTGCTGGCTCATTCGTAGTTCATACCAGCTCTCCTTCCTTGCTCTCAAGAGGGTAGCTAGCTAGTCATGTTCCCTCTGCAGTGTTCTCATTCCCCCTGCAGCCATGGCTCAGCAAGGTTCCTTCTGCTCCCATGACCCCCCTCTATCAGATACACATTTCAAAGTGAAACATTTTTTTCTCAATTTCGCTCACCGATAGCCTTCGCCTTGTCCCAGATCTGTTTGTGCTCTTGCCAACTCCATTGCTGTCCTTGTTTGGCATGACAATGAATGACAGGGAGTTATAGCACAAACAGAGACTGGCACTCAGACTAAGATGCTCTTGTCCTTTAACTGGCCCTTGCGCTGCAGCAGCCATACAAATAGAATTTGATTGATAAATTGCAAATTCAATTGATTCTTTCCACGTCTTGCTCTCTCTCTCTCTCTCTCTTTCTCCCCCTCCCTCTCTCTCTCTCTCTCTTTCTCCCCCTCCCTCTCTCTCTCTCTCTCCCCCCCCTCCCTCTCTCTCTCTCCCCCTCTGCTCTTTCATCTCCAGACTATTGTTGAACTGGCGGAGACGGGCAGTCTGGATCTCAGCATATTCTGCAGTACTTGTTTGGTAAAGAAATGACTTTATTTTATTTATTTCTCTAAAGGTTTTGTACCGAGGTGTTTTGCATGGTTTGGGTTTAACTTTGTCATTCTATCAAGCCTCATTACATTTGTATCTATCCACACAGATACGGAAGCCCATCCGGTCCAAACACTGTGCTGTGTGCAACCGCTGTATCGCCAAGTTCGACCACCACTGCCCTTGGGTGGGCAACTGTGTCGGTATGTAACGCACCAGGGCAGTGTTTAGCTTTGCAACAACCCATTGCCCAGCAACCGGTGTTAGTGTAGCTGATTTGTCATTTCTGTCCACGGAATTAGAATATTCTTATGAGTTCCAAATTCCAGCCTAAGAAGCAGCACATGGCTCTGTTTAAAATAAATAAAGAAGCTGCCACCCATCTGAATTCATTAGCTGTTCTGGCAGAATATAGAAAGGTGGGAGGCGCGTGTGTGTCTGTGTATGCACGCTGCCCAGCTCCGTTGGCCGTGAAGCAGCAGCTGCCTGTTTTTCCCTCGACTGTTTGAACTTCCAGACAGATGGCCTCATGAACAGCCGACACGTGTCCAGACATGTCTGCCTGTGAACTCTGAGATGGAAGGAGGAAGGGGGGGTCATAAAGCATCCATGCTGTCCCCTAAGAGCCAGACAGGCAGGATGGAGCTTGCTTTTTAGTCAGGCAGCGACGTAGACGCACTACAAGCTACTCCCTAGAGGTCCTCAGTGTTTTGGCCAGGTGTCTAGTGGGACAGGAAAGGTGAGGCAATGCCAGGATGGACACTATTTTCAGTTCCTCAGTAAAGGGACAATAAGCATACAAAGGATGTGTCCCAAATGTCACCCTATTCCCTAGTGCACCACTTTTGACCTGAGCCCTGTGTGCTCTGGTCAACAATAGAGCAGTATATAGGGAATAGAGTGCCATTTGGGACACATGCCAAGCCTACAAGTCCTGAGAGGTTCAAAGTACCATGGACATCTCTTTCCTGTTGTTACCCTTTCCATTTCACAGTTTGCATAGCCAACAAAACCATGACTGTTTTGGAACGTATCCCCCTCCCCCCTTCACATCCTTTACCTTAGTCCAAACAGTGACTGGCAGCAGCCCCACACACCTGCTCTTGTATTTTGAGTATGACCCAACGAGCCGACTGACAGGTCTGACAACTACTTGGCCTCCTTCAATCCTACTCTGTACTCTTTCTCGGTCTCTCTCCTTCTCTCTCTCTCTCGCTCATATATTTGTCTTGACCTGGAGTGGCCAGGAGGAGAGTGAGGGATGAGGAGAGTGAGTGAGGGATGAGGAGAGTGAGGGAGGGATGAGGAGAGTGAGTGAGGGATGAGGAGAGTGAGTGAGGGATGAGGAGAGTGAGGGACCAAACAGATGAGGCTTAACTCCCCCTCACTTTTCTCTGTCTGCTGTCAACAGGAAGTGGGAATCACCGCTACTTCATGGGCTACCTGTTCTTCCTGCTCTGCATGATCAGCTGGATGATCTACGGCTGCATCTGCTGTGAGTGGAACACCCCCAACCCACCAAGCCTCTTATTCTATACACACACCATGATTTCTTTATGCAATTCTACAGCTGTAAACAACCTAGCTTTTATACAGGATGTTTGGCTGCACCCCTCTGCCCAGTAATGTGAAATCCATAGATTAGGGCCTAATTAATTTATTTCAATTGACTGATTTCCTTATATGAACTGTAACTCAGTAAAATCTTTGAAATTGTTGCATGTTATTTTGCTAACTCTCTCTCTCTATTGGTTATGGTAGACCCATTATTTAATTTCTATGAACTTGTAATATAACCCTTTAATCATAGGTTGTCTGTGTAATCGCTCATACACTTGGCAATCATAGACTGCAGGATAAGGTTTAGCTGGATGGTTTAATCGTCAGCCCTACTCTATCACCCTAGAGTTCTTCCTTAACCCCTCTGCCCCTCTACCCAGACTGGAGGATCCACTGCGCCACCAACTACACCAAGGATGGTTTCTGGCTGTACCTGACGCAGATCGCCTCCTGCTCTCCCTGGATGTTCTGGATGTTCCTCAACAGTGTGTTCCACTTCATGTGGGTGGCTGTGCTAATCATGTGCCAGCTCTACCAGGTTAGAGAGACCATTGGTTGTTTGTTTAAGCTGCATTTAGCCAGGTGGGGTAAGTAAAGTAAGCCTGGTCCGTGCTAGAACGACCCATAGGACAGTAGCCTATATCCTGTTTAGATAAGTTAGAATCATATAATTGTCCATGGGATGCGTTTTACGTCCTTGACCCTCATCTTGACCCTTTGCAGTGATTGCATAGATAGGTCACTTTTTATTTGTTGTCCAAGTCTCCTTTTTATTTTTTTGTGACATTCTGTTCTATGTGTGTGTCCGCCCCTCTTCCAGATTGCTGGTCTGGGAATCACCACCAATGAGAGGATGAACGCCAGGAGATACAAGCACTTTAAAGTAACGGCCACGTCCATCGAGAGCCCCTTCAAGTGAGTACTAGCCCTCCCTCCAGATGCCTCTTTGCCAGTCTGTGTCCTCCTACCCAGAAATACTGACCTGATCCTGGGTCAGTACAGGATAATGTTGCCTTTAATGTTTTATATTCCCTCAATATTGACTGTTCCAGTTATGGTAACAATGGGTACGTTCTGGTGCTTACTTAAAGGGATGGTTCATCCAGTCTACGGGCCCATTTCCTAGACACAGATTAAGCCTAATACAGGACTCAAAAGCATTCTCAATGGAGATTCTCTATTGAAAGCGCCTTATAGTCCAGCACTAGACCTAATCTGTGTCTGGGGAAACTGGTCCTGCATGTTAGGGTGAAATGAATGTTTATGTGGGCAAATACTGACAAAATCCACAATAATCTGTTGTTACTTTTGCAACAGGCAGTAGCTGGCGTGATTTAGCATCATCCCCCGAATTCCCATTTGTTAATATTTCCCTGATATTAGCAAAGCTGCACTACAAGCCAAAACGTCACCTGATACACATGGTGTAGTACTTTATCAATGGATCCCAAAGACATGTAGAAATAGTTATTAGGTCATGATGTAAACATTTAATTTCTCTCCCTCCCTCTCCGTAGTCACGGGTGTGTACGGAACCTCATAGACTTCTTTGAGATTCGCTGCTGCGGCCTGATCCGGCCCAAGGCGATAGACTGGACCACACAGTACACAATCGAGTACGACCAGACGTCCGGGTCGGGCTACCAGCTGGTGTAGACGAGAAGAGAGGAGAGGGGGAGTGGAGTGGCGGTGTCTAGAGGAGGTCAATATCGGAGCCAGGCTCGGACCTTCTTCCTCACCGATTCAGACTGAGAAAACCAGCCAGGAACTAGCATGCTGTTACGGGACACCACATACACCACCATAAGACCAACACCTACTACTACTACTACTAGTCTACATGAAACCACCTCCATTACTGTACCCAGCACGACCTCAGAGCCCCTCCTGGGGGGGCCTTCTCCTCTGCTGGTCCCCCCTGGTCTCTCCTGCCCATGGACGGTGCACCGCTGCCAGGAGCGGCAGGGAGAGAGGCAGAGGGAGGAGGAGGAGGAGAAAAGAGAATATATAAAGAAAAATAAAAAAGGAATCTTTATTTGTTTGCTGTACTGGAGTCATCATGCTGCGGGCAGGCAGTACGATTGACGGCAGCATCATTTTGTTTCCCTTTTTGGTTAATTTTTCCCTTAAAAAAAAAAAAAGAAAATACATTTTTCACATTCATCTTTATTTTATTTTTTTCATCTTGTTGCCCTGTAGATTTTTTTTATTGTGCTCAAAACTCTGCTGTTCCTTTTAGAACTGTGGTGGCTAGGGAGTCAGAGGAAGGAAGGCCTTTTAAGGAAGAAGTTGGTTCTTAAACAGGATTTTGATAACGGATGGTTACTATGGCATGGTCATGTACCATCATTCAAGTCTTTGTGCAAGTTACCCTAAGGATTGCTTAGAATTGCCAAAGTTGTTCAACTTGTCAGTATGTCATAAAATGGCATTTGCAATCGTTGGGGGGGTCTATTCCCAGTGGTCACTTTCACAAGGTATTGAAGGTGCAGGTAGGAGCGACATCCTACTTATAATGTGACGCAAGCATATTTATTTTAACTCTATTTATAGATCAAATGATGTCATAGTACCATCTGATTTTACATGTCATGTTTTTTTATCGCTACAAATCGTATATGTGTGACATGGTGCCCTGAGACCTTTACTAGAAAAGTAGACACACATTAATATAAGAGTAGTGTTGGTGAGAGATCAACTAGAGTCGGGAAGATGAGGCCATTCCATCCCAGACTGAACGGATGTTTTTGGGAGTTGACAAGAAAGGTTAATTCCATGTGTATTCATTTTTTTTTGGGTGGTGGGGTGTGTCCGTTTGTTTGTCTGCCTACGACAATGCACTGATCACCGTTTTGGGTCTCGCCGTTACTGAGGAAATACAGGCGCACCCTCGCCGCTTCCGACAAACACTTCAATGTTTACTGGTTGAAGGAGCTCGGGCCCAATCAGAAAGGTGTATATAGTCCGAGACCCGCCCCTTCTTCTGCGTTCTCATCTGTTATTGGTCATTACATTTCCGGCAGCTCCGGGACGGACTGAAATGTAAAGAATGTGCATCTGTACATAAATGATCTAGTTTTCTTCGTGAGTGATTTTATTTTGTCAGTTGAAGCTGCTCCTATAAGACTTTTTTGATTTCATCCAATCAAAAGGAAAAGAGAACTCCCCGATTATAATCCAATTGTATGACTGTAGCTTTTAGTGATGTCCGACACTGCTATCTAAAGGCATTTTAACCCTGCAAACTCCACTGCATGTGTGATACTTGGACATTGGGCTGTCGCCATACTGTTGACTCACCCCCCCCAGTGATAGCCATGTGTCTGTATATAGTGAATGTTCAGTATTTACAAGTACTTTCTTCGGTATGTTCTCTTTTGTTTTTGTTTTTTAAACCCAGTGTGTGTATCTTTAGTGCAAGTCCTCCTTCTCGGTCTGCAGGCGGCAGTTGTCCAGCCTTCCGAAGTGTTCCATGCTGGTGGTTGGATTATACTCAAAGTAATGGGTTTTTTCTATGTCATATTGCTGGGTTTGTTACACCACTGGATGAACAAATTGTAAAGCAAGAAGCAAGAGAAAATGACAATTTTAGTTTTCTAAAAACTGAAATCATCCGTGTCATCGTGCGCAGTAATCCATGATAACATTGAGAGGTATGAAGCATGGATTTAGACATCTCATCATATCTTTCACATTATGGCGTCTGAGAGCACGGGAAGCACCATTGAGGCGATCTCTATTTTTGAAGTAAATGTTCTACTTTTATCAGTTGGCAAACAAACTGAAAGGGTGAATACTGCCACCTGAAATGTGTTTGAACAGGTAAAACGCCAAGGTTGGCGATTTACCACCACATGCAGTTATGGGATGTTTGCCCACGAGTATAATTCATTGGCGGATCCCCTCGTGGTGACCTGGATGGAATGATGCGATCCTTCCTTAACCTATAGGAAGTCTCACCCAGTTGACTACTTAAAAATGGTAAAAGTCCTCAATGGTGCTGCCTGTGCTTAAACAGGCTTTTGGCCACTAGAGTCCTACATCATCCGTAAGGGACAGTGGATCCTTTTGCAGGCTCACCTACTGCTGCCTATCTATCTAAAAGGAGCACAGAGATCATCCTAAACAACCTACAGGTATAGAGCTCATCCAGGCTCTGATTCAGATTAGGTTTGAGATAAAATATTCACACTAGCCTGAGTGCCACTTTGTTTGTACTGTCATACCAATTCCCTGTCACTCGTCATGACAAACATGGTTGTCTTGACAATGAGGAATGGAGTTGGCAAGAGCACAAACAGATCTGGGATCAGGCTTTTCACACTGGCTCTTCCAACAAATGTCATTTTTCCCCAGCTGCCACCATGTGAAAAGCACATGATCATCTACAGTGCCTCTCCACCTTCTTCAGGACATCACCATAACCCTGCTTCAGATGTTAATATATTGGGCATGGTTAAATTTTAATGGCTTTAATAATAAAATACATTCAAATGTGAAAATACAGATGTGTTGCTCTCTTGTGTTTTCTTCTAGGGCTAAATTGTTCTGATAATATTTCACACTTAAGTTGTTTTTTGAAATAGATTTATTTATTGTGTATTTGTAAATTGTAAATCCTCCCCCACCCTCTAAAAAAAACACAGAAGCATAGGCACTTGAGTCATTGGTTTTCACAGTCAGAAATACACAAGGTATTATTGTCTTGAGGGTGGCTGGTGGTCATCATTTGGCATGCACCAGAGCCCCAGCTCCCTGGCCATAACCAAATCCTTTGGGTCCAAAGTTCTTTGCGTAACATGCTGGGGACAAAGAAAACTATGAGTATGGAAATGCTGATGCATCCTAAAACATGTCACTAAACATTGGTCAAAGGGTGATAGCTTTCTCCATTGCAGTGTTGAATACAACACTAGTGAAGAAAAGTAACCTTACAATGGACTACGTTTTCCTGTGAGCTCTCTTTCCGTTTGCTTGCTGATACAATGAGAAGTGAATACATTAGTTATCACACCGCAGAACATAAACAGCAGAACCCAAATCAAAACAAGCCTGATGATCTCAATGCTGTGTGGGCAACGTTTGACTGCACTACCACAGTGGCAATAGTTTATGGCAGGGTTCTCCAACCCTGTTCCTGGAGAGCTACCCTCCTGTAGGTTTTCGCTCCAACCCCAGTTGTAACTAACCTGATTCAGTTTATCAACCAGCTAATTATTAGAATCAGGTGCACTAGATTAGGGTTGGAGTTAAAACCTACAGGATTGTAGCTCTCCAGGAACAGGGTTGGAGAACCCTGGTTTATTCCTGTTCATCAGTCCAATGTTTATCCTGGTGAATTTTTAAAAGCCAACTGATCCATCCGCCCCTTGGCTCTGGGTCCCTGTACACACTCAGGTTGTACAATGCATTTGACAAAATGTTTGTGATACAACCAAGAGTTGATCTGCACTCAAATGATTACACTGCTGTTGTGGAGACGACAACACAATGGTTTTGTAAAACATTTTTGTGCAAACAAACTTGTATGACAGTTCTTACATGATATTACAACTGATGAGTCAGATGCATTGTGCGTCAGTTGGACAAGTTGAGTGTTTACGGGGCCTAGGATTCCCCCTTGAGTTTCAATAAAGAACCCCTTAGTGCTATGTGTGTATGGGACTGTGTGTGTACATGGACCGCTTAATCTATTGTTTACAAAAACATTCCAACGCCATTGGGTGTGCATGATCTGGAAAGAGGAGCCATTGTGGAAGATGTATTTGGAATGTTTAGGGCATCATGACTTGAATTCTAGCTGTTAGATTTCCAGGGGACATGGAAAAAGAGTAACAAACACTTAACAAGCTTGAAAAGTCCAGTGCCCTCTATCCTACCCAAGGCACACAAACCCAGCTTGAATACATGGCCTCCAATGCCCTCTGGTAATAGTATAATGCTCCTGTTTTGCAGTGCTTTTATGTAACAGCTAGTTCATCTAGTTATTTTGCCTCAGGTATAAATCATATAATCTGCCTATGGTGGTTGTGTTGAGTTCCTTCGCTCTGGTGACTGCTCCGGGGTGATGTTTCCTCTAGGTACAGATCTAGGATCAGCTTTCCCTCCCCCAATCCTAATGCTGAACCAAGATCAGCTTCTAGGGGCAACTTCACCCTACAACGGTTCCCTCACACTGGTGACCATGCAGGCCCAAGCCTGAAAGGGAATCTAGAAACCTGATGTCTCACCTTTGCAGTAGATCTCTCCATCTTTCTCTGTCTGGGTGGTAGACTCCAGGCTCTTCCCACACTTGGCACACCGGAAGCAGTTCTTATGCCATGGCTGTTAAGATTAGATAAGATCCTACTTTATTTATTACTGGGGAATAAGACAAGGGATGAAGAATTGATCAACTGGTGTGCATTGAGAGATTCTAATGCTTTTCATTTTCCAGCAGTATACTATACTTTTAAAAATCATACAGCCATTGTCCTAACATCTGGACCTGGAATCTGGATGCCAGATCTGATTATCAAAGGATTCCTATTGTGTTGCCATAATCCTTCACATACTGTACATTTCCTCTCATTGTGAGCCGCAGAATGCAGCGTAACACTAGTTAAAGTCAGGCTAAAATGTCTTCAGCCTGCCATGACGTGTGTGATGGCCTACATCTGCCTGAATCCTTTTAGCCAGCCAGTCAGCACTGCAGATTTCTACACCAGCTGCCTGGAAGCCAGCCCTCCAAATTCAGAATTTATGACAAAGCTTAGGCCAGAAAAATGAGATTTCTGTCTTATGAATTTCCTATAATGAATCCATCCAATTGGCCCCTTGCAAAGTAAACCCACCTGTTTTCAATCAATGGTGGTCACTACAGTGAGCTCAAAACCTTAATTCCCTGCTCCACTTATTCACTCCAAGTCCCTCCCCCCTCTCACCTTGCCTGCCCCCACGATCTTCTCCGCGGCATACACTGACTCCCCACACCGGCCGCACTTATCCGAGCCCCCAAATTTCTGGGCGAATTTGGAGGAGTTGGGGTTGGTGCTGGGTCTGTGACACTGGGTCCTGAAGGTGTGCACAAACAAACAGCATTAGAGAAGTTAGGGGAACAGATCCCCTCTGGTTCTTTGGGGAACAGATCCCCTCTGGTTCTTTGGGGAACCCACCAGGCCCCTCTCTCCTCTCGTCCCCAGGCGTCAGGCTTGGGTAGGCGCTGGGTAAACTCTGGGGCCCTGGAGTGCTGCCTAATGAACGGGAACTGCCTGCCCCAAAGGCCCTGAATGGGAGGCTTTGTGCCGGGGACAGTGTGGAGAGAGAGACCAGGGTCAGCAGGGCTGCCCAGGAGCCTGTGGTTCGGTTACATAATGGGGCCCTTTCATAACAACAGCACCAGACTCTGGGTAAACAGCCATATGTGTACAGTAGATGTGGTTAGAAATGTGGTTACTGGCCGTTACCACGGCTCTGACTGACTAGGAGGTTACTGGCCGTTACCACGGCTCTGACTGACTAGGAGGTTACTGGCCGTTACCACGGCTCTGACTGACTAGGAGGTTACTGGCCGTTACCACGGCTCTGACTGACTAGGAGGTTACTGGCCGTTACCCCGGCTCTGACTGACTAGGAGGTTAGTGTGAGGTTACTGGACATTACCACAGCTCTGACTAGGAGCCTATCAGGGCATTCCCAGGTCTCTTCGAAACACAACTATGTAGAAAGAGTGTCATGCTGCAATATAATGAGTCTGGACCCATATTCAAAAAGCATTTCAGATTAGGAGTGCTGATCTAGGATCTTCTTTATAGTTGTTAGTTTATAGAAATATAGTTTATTGACAGACGTGTGTACACGCTCTACGATTGGCCAAGCCAGTCTAATGCATCTTAGGCTGAACTCTGGAAGTTTGCACAGTATTTATCAGATGATCCGGGAACCATTGGATAACTGTTGAGCAACTGTGTGTCAGTGGAAATGCACATGAGCACCAATGGATTTATAATAAATTGAACAATCGCATCAGGTCTAATCCGATGGCTGGGTTTCCCTTTGTAATAATTTTACATTTACATTTCAGTCATTTAGCATACACTCTTATCCAGAGTGACTTGCAGGAGCAATTAGCGTTAAGTGCATTGCTCAAGGGCACATCAACAGATTTTGTCCCACTCCTCTTTGCAGAACTTCTCCAAGTCATTAAGGTTTCGGGGCTGACGTTTGGCAACTCGAACCTTCAGCTCCCTCCACAGATTTTCTATGGGATTAAGGTCTGGAGACTGGCTAGGCCACTCCAGGACCTTAATGTGCTTCTTCTTGAGCCACTCCTTTGTTGCCTTGGCCGTGTGTTTTGGGTCATTGTCATGCTGGAATACCCATCCACGACCCATTTTCAATGCCCTGGCTGAGGGAAGGAGGTTCTCACCCAAGATTTGATGGTACATGGCCCCGTCCATCGTCCCTTTGATGCAGTGAAGTTGTCCTGTCCCCTTAGCAGAAAAACACCCCCAAAGCATAATGTTTCCACCTCCATGTTTGACGGTGGGGATGGTGTTCTTGGGGTCATAGGCAGCATTCCTCCTCCTCCAAACACGGTGAGTTGAGTTGATGCCAAAGAGCTCCATTTTGGTCTCATCTGACCACAACATTTTCACCCAGTTCTCCTCTGAATCATTCAGATGTTCATTGGCAAACTTCAGACGGGCATGTATATGTGCTTTCTTGAGCAGGGGACCTTGCGGGCGCTGCAGGATTTCAGTCCTTCACGGCGTAGTGTGTTACCAATTGTTTTTCTGGTGACTATGGTCCCAGCTGCCTTGAGATCATTGACAAGATCCTCCCGTGTAGTTCTGGGCTGATTCCTCACCGTTCTCATGATCATTGCAACTCCACGAGGTGAGATCTTGCATGGAGCCCCGGGCCGAGGGAGATTGACAGTTATTTTGTGTTTCTTCCATTTGCAATAATCGCACCAACTGTTGTCACCTTCTCACCAAGCTGCTTGGCGATGGTCTTGTAGCCCATTCAGCCTTGTGTAGGTCTACAATCTTGTCCCTGACATCCTTGGAGAGCTCTTTGGTCTTGGCCATGGTGGAGAGTTTGGAATCTGATTGATTGATTGCTTCTGTGGACAGGTGTCTTTTATACAGGTAACAAGCTGAGATTAGGAGCACTCCCTTTAAGAGTGTGCTCCTAATCTCAGTCGTTACCTGTATAAAAGACACCTGGGAGCCAGAAATCTTTCTGATTGAGAGGGGGTCAATACTTATTTCCCTCATAAAGCAAATCAATTTAGAACAACATTTGACATGCATTTTTCTGGATTTTTTTGTTGTTATTCTTCTCTCACTGTTCAAATAACCTACCATAAAATTATAGACTGATCATTTCTTTGTCAGTGGGCAAACGTACAAAATCAGCAGGGGATCAAATACTTTTTTCCCTCACTGTATATACTACACACATACTCCTCTGGTTTGATCCCCAGTCTCTCTCCACGGTCCATGTTGAGTGTTCCAGCCCCCTGACCGTAGCCGTAGCCCTTGGGGCCGTACTTCTTTCCATAGCAGGACTTGCAGTAGATCTCAGTGTCGTGGATGGCCACATTGTTGCTGTCTAAACCCTTTCTGCAGACCACTGGAAAGGGAGAAAAATAAATAAAGCTGTGTAAATGACACAGGATGTTTGTCTGAACAACACATTGCATTGTAACTGGAGGGACACTGAATTGTCACAAGTTTCCCTAAAAGGTCTATTAATTCCTCAATGGCGGATTTAGTCTCCAAATGGGACAGAGAGAGAGAGAGAAAGGGACAGAGAGAGAGAGAGAAAGAAAGGTACACACAGAGAGAGAAAGGGACACACAGAGAGAGAGAGAAAGGGACACACAGAGAGAGAAAGGGACACAGAGAGAGAGAGAAAGGGACACACAGAGAGAGAAAGGGACACAGAGAGAGAGAGAAAGGGACACAGAGAGAGAGAAAGGGACACAGAGAGAGATAGAGAGAGAAAGGGACACAGAGAGAGAGAGATAGAGAGAGAGAGAGAAAGGGACACAGAGAGAGAGAGAGAAAGGGACACAGAGAGAGAGAAAGGGACACAGAGAGAGAGAGAGAGAAAGGGACACGAAGAGAGAGAGAGAGAAAGGGAAAGTGAGAGAGAGAGGGACAGAGAGCGAGAGGGGTGCCTGTTTGTCGTCAATTCTAATGACTAAGAGCTTTCTTTCAGATTGTGCCCTAGTTTAATCCAATTAACTGCATCAGGTGCAATCTGAATTGATGGAGTGAGTCAACACAGTCCTTTTGTCCCCGCTACCATCACCCTCAGGTCAGGGTCAAGTTTATCAAATCATCCTGTATGAATTGACTATCGGTGAAATAGTATGGTGGCTTCCGGTTTGATCATGTAGGAGAAAGGTGGTTCCCACACACATTTACGTGAAAAAGTACGATTCAACTTTAACTACGGATGAAATAATTTTCATTTGCAATGTTTAAGACAGTATATGATTATTTTACATCTCCCACAATGTAGTCTTCCTGTACAAGAGAGAGCACTGTATAACTACCATTGCTACCATAACTACCACTGTATAACATTTACATTTTAGTCATTTAGCAGACGCTCTTATCCAGAGCGACTTACATGAGCAATTAGGTTTAAGTGCCTTGCTCAAGGGCACATCGACAGATTTTTTCATCTAGTCGGCTCGGGGATTAGAACCAGCGACCTTTCAGTTACTGGCACAACGCTCTTAACCACTAAGCTACCTGCCGCCCTATAACTACCATTGCTACCACTGTATAACTACCATTTGAAAAATTGTGTCTAAATAGCGTGGCTTCATTTAGTTCAACAAACCAAAACTGGAGGTAGGTGCATTAGTAATTTACTAATGCATAAAAGGTTACTAAAAGATGAGGACAGGCGCTCTTCTGAAAAAACGGAATCTATCCCACCAAGCAAGGTGACAAACCACGTCAACCACATCTTCATGCATAAATGAGAAAGGGAAGATCATAGTGAAAGAGAAAGATGGCGGAGACTTTTGTCTAAATGGCACCCTGTTTCCTATATAGTGCACTACCCTATGGGCCCTGGTTGAAAGTAGTGCACTATGTAGGGAATAGGGTGCCATTTGAGATGCGCCTATTGGCTCTCACTGCTCATTAACTCCTCTATAGGGCTGCCTGCTCTAAACAAAGCCGCTTCTCTAAGGACCCCACAAAAATAAACACTTCATTTTTGGGCCAGATTGTTTTTCCGCTTTCTTTGATGGCAGAGTGCTAATTCACAGCATGTGCTTTCAGTGTGTGCACTCCAGTCAAGGTCCCCAAAACGTCTTCTTCACTGACGTTTCAACCGGTTCAAGAGAGGGAGGTGCACACACCCAATCTCATACGGCTAGCAGGACCATGTCCAGTTACTATTTATTGAGCTATGGGCTGAGATGAGACCCACATCAATGCATTGTGTTGGTTAGCATTGTGCATGATCCATTGCATAGGGGTCAAACTGAAGTTCACCAATCTATCATATAACTTCCTCAAGTTATAGTTCCTTTCTCATGGTTCCCATTCATATTTAAGTGAACGGGAAAGACCATTCCAGATGGGGGTTGACTATATGTTGGTTCACATGCCCTGCCCAGACACACCCTCTAGTCCGCTCAAATTCAAATCTTGACCTCGAAGCCAGTTCCATTACTTTTGTTCATTAGTCCCTCTAATCAAGGACTGATTTAGACCTGGGCTTGTTTCTTGACACGGTCAAAGTGGACTAACATGGCCACCACGTTCAGTAGCCAAACATTGTAGAATATTGCAGATATAACGTTCCAAAATGTTGCATCCTGCTGAACACACCCCAGGTAGGCTGATCCAACACTGAGGAGAGAAAATGAGGTCACACTCACTGCAGAGGAAGCAACACTTGTGGAAGCTCTTCCCATCACACTGCACCTCCTCGGCATGGTACACCGTCCCCTGGCATGCACCACACTTGTTACCTCCTCCCCAGTTTGGCATTTTGGTGCTGTTGAGAGACAAACATGGGAGAGAGGGGATGAGAGACATGATGTGAGACTTAAAAGAAGTACTCCGGGGTGAAGTTTCCCTAGGAACTAATCTAGGATCAGCTTCCCCTCGCCCAATCCTAACCTTAACCATTAGTGGGGGAAATGCAAAACTGACCCAGGATATGGGTCTAGGTGCAACTTCAGCCTACTCCAAAAGGAGAAACACAAAGGAAGTTAAGGGTCAGTCCTTCCCGTCCTGTTTGACAACAGATCAGTGATACACCTTCTTGGACCAATAAGATACAGGCACAAGACAACAACCCCTTCTGTGCTCAGGAAGTCCAAACTGAACAACAGGCCACTAGGTCTGAGTAAAAACAAAACAATGGGACAGCTGAATGCATTATGGAGGCTTCAGTGGTTCTACAACACCTCATTAATAACAGTTATAAAATGTTAATTCAAATGGCATGTACAAAACAAGTGTGACCTATAAACACTGATGTGGTGGCCACATAGAATTGACATGATGCAATGACGCAGACGGTCACGTCATTTAATCATTTTAAAGACCAGACGTACACTAGTATTAAGATGTTACACCCCCATCTGCATTCCATGACAAGCAGAGGGTTCACAAACAAGAAGAAAGTACACTCTATTACTATTTAGTGCACTACTTCTGATATGGGCCCTGGTCAAAAGAAGTGCACTACATAGTGAATAGGGTGCCTTTTGGGACACAACCATGATGTCACTATCAAGAAAATAAAGAGTGCTCTTATTTTTCATGAAGGAAACCACAGAGCACTGCTAGTCATTAAATCACACATTAGCACGGCTACTTTAAGGAGTTCCCACCCTCCCAACGTTATTACAGACTGCACGACATGCCCAAACATGAGAGAGAATCAAAAGGAGACAGAAATTACTCTCAAGTTCGCTCAGGGCGTAGAATGTCTGTTCTTTCAAAAGAGTTTCAATGTCCTGCATCCAATATTTAAATCAGTCTTGTAGTATGTGCTAACACACAATCCATAGGTTTTTCATGAATAGGTTATTGGGAGTTTCACCACTTGGTTGTGCCTCTATGTTTTTAATAAATCTAGAGATTAGGTACTTATTTCTGAGACAAGGGGGAGCAGAATTGGGGTGAGGTTTAACCAACTGAAAAAAGAGCAATGAAGCCTATTCAATCAAAAACCAAAGGGTTATTGAATACGTATAACCTTTACAATGTCATACATAGTATGTGGAATCACATAAAACCATAAACCCATATATAGCCTGATCACCGACGACGAGACAGCCTACAGCAGGGTTCCCCAACTGGCGGCCTGCGGGACGATTTTTTGGCTAAATAAATACATTTTTATTTACATTTTTTAATTGTTGGACATAAGGCTAAAAACACCAGCAAATCAGCTCCAAGTGATTTTAATTTTGAGAATCTGTTCCAAAGTAATCCCACACATAGATACAGTTGAAGTCAGAAGTTTACATACACTTAGGTTGGAGTCATTAAAACTCGTTTTTCAACCACTCCACAAATTTCTTGTTAACAAACTATAGTTTTGGCAAGTCGGTTAGGACATCTACTTTGTGCATGACACAAGTAATTTTTCAAACAATTGTTTACAGACAGATTATTTCACTTATAATTCACTGTATCACAATTCCAGTGGGTCAGAAGTTTACATACACTAAGTTGACTGTGCCTTTAAACAGCTTGGAAAATTCAAGAAAATGATGTCATGGCTTTAGAAGCTTCTGATAGGCTAATTGACATAATTTGACTCAATTGGAGGTGTACCTGTGGATGTATTTCAAGGCCTACCTTCAAACTCAGTGCCTCTTTGCTTGACATCATGGGAAAATCAAACGAAATCAGCCAAGACCTAAGAAAAAGAATTGTAGACCTCCACAAGTCTGGTTCATCCTTGGGAGCAATTTCCAAACACCTGAAGGTACCACGTTCATCTGTACAAACAATAGTATGCAAGTATAAACACCATGGGACCACGCAGCTGTCATACCGCTCAGGAAGGAGACGCGTTCTGTTTCCTAGAGATTAACGTACTTTGGTGCAAAAAGTGGAAATCAATCCCAGAACAGCAAAGGACCTTGTGAAGATGCTAGAGGAAACAGGTACAAAAGTATCTATATCCACATAACCTGAAAGGCCGCTCAGCAAGGAAGAAGCCACTGCTCCAAAACCACCATAAAAAAGCCAGACTACGGTTTGCAACTGCACATAGGGACAAAGATCGTACTTTTTGGAGAAATGTCCTCTGGTCTGATGAAACAAAAATAGAACTGTTTGGCCATAATGACCATCGTTATGTTTGGAGGAAAAAGGGGGTTGCTTGCAAGCCGAAGAAGACCATCCCAACCGTGAAGCACGTGGGTGGCAGCATCATGCTGTGGGGGTACTTTGCTGCAGGAGGGACTGGTGCACTTCACAAAATAGATGGCATCATGAGGAAGGAAAATTATGTGGCTATATTGAAGCAACATCTCAAGATATCAGTCAGGAAGTTAAAGCTTGGTCATAAATGGGTCTTCCAAATGGACAATGACCCCAAGCATACTCCCAAAGTTGTGGCAAAATGGCTTAAGGACAACAAAGTCAAGGTATTGGAGTGGCCATCACAAAGCCCTGACCTCAATCGTATAGAAAATGTGTGGGCAGAACTGAAAAAGCGTGTGCGAGCAAGGAGGCCTACAAACCTGACTCAGTTAAACCAGCTCTGTCAGGAGGAATGGGCCGAAATTCACCAAACGTATTGTGGGAAGCTTGTGGAAGGCTACCTGAAACGTTTGACCCAAATTAAACAATTTAAAGGCAATGCTACCAAATACTAATTGAGTGTATGTAAACTTTGACCCACTGGGAATGTGATGAAATAAATAAAAGCTGAAATAAATCTCTCTCCACTATTATTCTGACATTTCACATTCTTAAAATAAAGTGTTGATCCTAACTGACCTAAGACAGGGAATTTGTACTAGGATTAAATGTCAGGAATTGTGAAAAACTGAGTTTAAATGTATTTGGCTAAGGTGTATGTAAACGTCATACTTCAACTGTATATGTGATCGTAAACAAATGTAAGCAAGGTTTGAAATGATGTTGTAGTGAAATATTATCTGTTTGGGTTTCTTGCGGTCAATTTGCTGTCTACAAATGATTTGTAATTATGTTCCGGCCCCCTTACCATCTACTCAAGAAAAATGAAAAAAACGGTCCGCGACTGAATCTAGTTGATGTTCTCTGCCCTACAGGGAGGAGGTCTGTGACCTGGCAGTGATGTGCCAGGACATCAACCTCTCCTTCAACGTCAGCAAGACAACGAAGCTGATAGTGGACTACAGGAAATGGACGGCTGAGAATGCCCCCATCCACATCAACGGGGCTGTAGTGGAGCGGGTCGAGAGCTTCAAGTTCATGGGTGTCCACATCACTAAGGAATTATCATGGTCCAAACACACAAACACTGTCGTGAGGCTGAAAAGATTTGGCATGGGCCCTCAGATCCTCAAAAAGTGATACACTGCACCATTGAGAGCATCTTGACTGGCTGCATCACCGCTTGGTATGGCAACTGCTTGGCATCCGACTGCAAGGCGCTACAGTGGGTAGTGCGTACAGCCCAGTACATCACTGGGGCCAAGCTTCCTGCCATCCAGGACCTCTATACCAGGCGGTGTCAGAGGAAGGACCTAAAAATGGTCAAACTCCAGCCACCCAAGTCATAGAATGTTATCTTTGCTACCGCACAGCAAGCAGTACCGATGCACCAAGTCTGGAACCAACAGGACCCTGAACAGCTTCTACCACCAAGCCATAAGACTGCTAAATAGTTAGTTAAATAGTTTACCAATACCTACGGCGGACTGTCTGCATTGACCCTTTTTCCACTAACTATTTTGACTAATCACATACGCTTCTGCTACTGTTTGTTATCTATCCTATTGCCTAGTCACTTTATCCCAACATATGTACATATCTTACGTTACGTCATACTCCTGCACATCGACTCAGTACTGGTACGGCATGTATATAGCCAAGTTATCGTTACTCATTGTGTATTGATTCCTTGTGTTATTATTTATTTTTTCCTCTCTCTGCATTGTTGGGAAAGGCCTGTAAGTAAGCATTTCACTGTTAGTCTACACATGTTGTTTACGAAACATGTGGCAAATAACATTTTCTGTGTATAAATCTCAGATGTTGCCTAACCCAAGAACCTGGAAAGACAGACAGTACAGGAAACTACTACAGTATCAATAACTCACCAGGCTAAACAGGTGTCAATTTTTTTGGAAAAGTTTAATCAACGGTCCCATTGACATATAACTATATACACCAACCACTTGCCTGAGCCAATACTATTTAAAAAGTATATTCAAAAACTAGTTATTTCACCTGAGCGTCGTGTAGTCGACCAAATCTATGTGGATAATCCAACTGTTTCACGTAAATAAATTCGCCTCGTGCAACCAATATGGATTCAGCTCTGCTGCATAGATAAAAAATGTACCGACCTGTATTTGTTGTTGGAGAATCCTTACGTTTTATCCCAGCTATCGACGTCGTGTCTTTTGCCGACGCACCAAACTACTCTGTTCGCAGTTGTGTTCTCAGGCTCAGTAAGCATGTCATACTAGATATTAAGAGGGGAGTGGTTTAGCCAGGCAGCGGAGGAGAGCTTTACTGTTTTACCCATTCATTGGTTTTAACCCAAAATGTCAGAAATATAGCATAAAAATAATACCTGTCATTAGACCTGTCTGTCTTAAACCAGATATCGGTTTTAACTGGCATGCATGCAGGAAACCATTAGGGTTAAAGGCAATGTGTTGCATAGTGTCCTAGTATAGTCTATAGAAATTACAGCTCTAATTAAGCAATAAGGCCCAACGGGGTGTTATATATGGCCAATATACCATCGCTAAGGGCTGTTCTTAAGCAAGAGGCAAAGCGGTGTGCCTGGATACAGTGCTTAGCGGTGGTATATTGGCCATATACCACAAACCCCCGAGGTGCCTTATTGCTGTTATAAACTGGTTAGCAACGTAATTATTGCAGTAAAAATAAATGTTTTGTCATACCCGTGGTATATGGTCTGATAAAGTACAATACATACAAGCCATCACATCACACTGAGGCCAGCATGCATTACCTTAACTCTCTAACCTAAAAAACACCATATTCAGTGACATAGCATCAGCAGTTTAATTGCTGTCCTATGGTTTGTTGAAAATGTCATCCAATAGAATAGTAAGTCACCTGAGTAGATCATGCATTGTAAAGATCTGATCATCTGCATAGACCTGTGCAGAATGTATGTATCTGCAATATACCCCTACAGTGTTGTGGACTGTAGCAGAGTTTGAATGAAGTGAAAACTGTCAGAAACCTACATGGCTATGGTGGCCAGGCTAAATGTCAGCATTGACAGTCCTATGTTAGAAGCCACCGATGTTCAAATATCGAGTTTCAAGTGAGAGGGAGCCTTGTTCACACATCATAATGAAAGCTTTGTCATGGAAACAGAAAAGTGACAGGCAAAGAGGCATGTCACAGGGGAGTATACTCTTCAGATAAGGAGGCCACTACAGACAACCTAGATAGAAATGCACAGGCTTAACAGGCAACCCCTTTGAAATGGATACCAGTCTGCACACACTCACAGGCAGACAGTCCCTCCCTCTCTGCACCAACAACAAGGCTATAACTCAACTTTTGTTTTAGGGACTCTGTACTTTAAATGTTCCCTAGTAGTACTGGGCCATGCCTCTGTGGATGAGTTCACATGGTATGGGGTGAAGTTGCCCCTAGGCACTGATCTTAGGTCAGTTTAGCATTTCCCCCTAACATTTAAGGTTAGGATTGGGGAAGGGGAAGCTGATCCTAGATCCGTACCTAGGGAAACTTCACCCTGCTCCATTAGTTCACACTGTTGTGTAAAAATGAACCATAATGCAGAGAAAATGTATTTTCTGAGACATTTCCACTTCATCAAGATGTGGGTTTGCTTAGTGTGGGTGATAATTAACTTGTCTCAGGGGGGACATCCATTATGTATTCCCCTGCTCAGTGGTTAATGCGACACACACACACACACACACACACACACACACACACACACACACTGCTAATGCACTCATCCAACCTCACTCTGCTCCCAGATGTGAATCATATTAGCAGGACATGTCAGTATGTTTACAGTAAAATCTATTCATCAGTGGTAAAGGATGACTGTAGTCAGCCTCCCCTCTCATACCATAGTATCAGTGGTCCATATCTGTAGTCAGCCTCCCCTCTCATACCGTAGTGTCAGTGGTCCATGATGATAAATGCATCTCAGGGTCCGTATTCATACAGCTATGAGTGCTGATCTAGGATCAGGTCTCTCCGTGTCCATGTAATTGTAGTCATTGTTATCTAAAAGGCTAAATTGATCCTAGATCAGCCCTCCTACTCTGAGACCCTTTATGAATACGGGCCCTGGTTCGTGTTTTAAGAGAAAGATCTGGAGGAGTCTTGTCATCAATCAGTGGTGAATCCTCCCTTTCTCTGAGGTCAAGGTTACAACATACCCAGAGATCCTCCCTTCTCTGAGGTCAGGGTTACAACAGTACCCAGAGGCACCCTATCATCAAAGTCTGACGTCAACAGGACTTTCTCTGTGTGGATCAAAGACGAAGCACAATGCCTTGTAGTCATATCCAACCTCTCAGGACTAAGGCTGAGTCTCAAATGGGACCCTATTCCCTATACAGTGCACTACTTTTTACCAGGGCCTATAGGACTTTGGTCAAAAGTAGTGCACTATATAGGGAATAAGGTACCATTCGAGACACAATCTAACAGATAATTGATTTGGCCATTTTTCAGGGCAGAGTCCTGCCCTCAGACAGAGGTGGGAGTGTTGGACATTGTTTGGGTGTTCACTCACGTATAACAAAAATATTTACCTCCCAAACCTCAGTGTCCTGGATGATAGATTGTGTACGTCCCAAATTTGCACCCTATTCCCAATATAGTGCACTACTTTTTCCCAGGTCCCATAGGGCAAAAGGAGTGGACTATGTAAGGGATAGGGTGCCATTTGGAACGCAAACCATTGTGTAATGGTTGGAATGTGCCACGTATCTGAGGTAGCGCCCAAGGTCTGTCATGTTGCTGTGTGAAGACCACAGCTAACAGTGCTGTGCATGGGTTGTGCACTTTGTTTTCTCAGCTGGAACTGAGACTATGCTAGAGTGCAGTATAGAAAGGACCAGAGGAATTCCGTTTAGGCAACGCACACGACCAGGCTCTCTGATGGCAGATATGTGGAGATTGGGAGCCATATGAGTTTTAGTGCAACTTGCATTCTTGTTTTTTTTCACTCCAACCATCTGGCTCAGAGTCTGTCGTGCCGTAGTTGGTCAATGTGTTATCAGAGATGGAAAACCTTGAATTCAAAGGTAAACCAAATCTACAGAAAGATAAGACATTTAGTCAGAGGCACAGTTCACTTCAAGGGCTTTTCTTGGGATCATTTATCTTTATTTCTTTATTTCTTTCTCTCGCTCTCTCGCTTCTCGCTCTCTCTCTCTCTCTCTCTCTCTCTCTCTCTCGCTCTCTCTCCTTATCTCCTCCCTCTCCCTCTCTCCTCTATGTTGATTGAGAAAGGACTGCTCTCCACGCCAAGGACATCAACCGGTAACACGATACTGTAATGAACAGGCGAAAACCTCACAGACGATGACGTTGAATGGGTCTGTTACCATAGTGAAGTGCAAGCCAGGAATGGTCCAGGGCAATGCATGGCGAATGGTCCAGGGCAACGCATGGCGAATGGTCCAGTTCACTGCTATGGGCGAACTGCAATGAATTCTCAACTGAAGGGTAGAACCAATGCAGATACATGTGTTGTTGGGGGTGTAAGGAAGCTTGAGGAATAAGAGATTAAAGACTCTGAGAAGCAGTAATGTGTTTCCATTGAATACACCTCTGACAGCTCATAGATAATATCTTAAGCTCTCTTTATTCTATGTATTGAATATTTACATCCTCTGTTCACGTTAAATGCAATTAATTAATTAATGAAATGTGGGGTATGACGTCATGTCCCAAAAACACACCTATTATAACTCACCTGAAATACAAGTACACTATCATGCCCAGCCCGAACAAGATGTAATGTTCAGTATCATGCCCGAACACGATGAAATTTTTCATTATCAATGCCCGAACACGATGTAATGGTCGATCATGCCCGAACACGATGTAATGTTCAGTTTCATGCCCGAACACGATGTAATGTTCCGTATCAGCCCGAACACGATGTAATTTTCATATCATTGCCCGAACAAGATGTAATGTTCAGTATCATGCCCGAACAAGATGTAATGTTCATATCATGCCCGAACACGATGTAATTTTTCATTATCATGCCCGAACAAGATGTAATGTTCAGTATCATGCCCGAACACCGTTTTAAATGTTCAGTATCATGCCCGAACACGAGTAATGTTCAGTATCATGCCCGAACAAGTAATGTTCAGTATCATGCCCAAACCAGATGTAATGTTCAGTATCATGCCCGAACACGATGTAATGTTCAGTATCATGCCCGAACACGATGTAATGTTCAGTATCATGCCCGAACAAGATGTAATGTTCAGTATCATGCCCGAACACGATGTAATGTTCAGTATCATGCCCGAACACGATGTAATGTTCAGTATCATGCCCAAACCAGATGCAATGTCTATGGCACACCATTTGGTAAGCCCTCTGGCGGTGCTTTCTAGTGAATTAGTAGAAGAGTTTCACAAATCATTATGTGTAATGTGTATCATTTTAACCTATTGAATGGGATGCAGTGGAGCCTACAGTAGAGTCACATCACATCTGGGGCCATATGCATCAAATATCTCAGTGTAGGAGTGCTGATTTAGGATCAGTTTTGCCTTTTAGATCATAATATTTCATGAACAGGGGGAATCCTGATCCTAGTTCAGCACTCCTACCCTGTCCTTCATCTTAACCTCTTCATACTGACCTACTTTTACTACCTTTTTCTAGTCTCTGCCAAAGGATTATATTTGGAACTGTGTTTGGGGGAAAACAATCGGCTTCAAATGTAGAAATCCTAGAGGGAGTGGGCAGAGAGTGGGCCCATGGACCGAACCTGTTACGCCTACCTTGGCACTGCTCAGTGTCTCTGCCTCTGTCTCAGGCCAAGGCTTTTTAGCTGGAATGCAAACAATACGAAATGTAATTCAGAAAGAATTTATGGCGGAGGAGAGGAAAAAACACGAGTGAAATGAACATGAAAAACAGATGGAACAGGTAATGCAGCCTCTCTTACTTTTATGTTCGAAAACCCCTGAAATGGCGGGTTAAGGAAATCCTCACTCTGAGAGTGGGAGCTCAAAAGCTACACGAGTAAGTTAAAGGGAAAAAATCTGACCAAAAGCACTGTAATTTTTGACAGGTATTATGCAAGTCTCCCACTGAGTTCTCTGAGGAAACTGGGTCATCAGATGAAGACTATGCATGCGTCCCAAATGGCACCCTATTCCCTATATAGTGCACTGCTTTGCCATGGTCCAAAGTAGTGCACTATAAAGGGAATATGGTGCCATTTGGGATACCACCTGACCTGTCCTCCACAGGGTGCAGGAGAAGATGTGAATCAACATTATAATTAAATTGACCTATTGCAATCTTCTTTATATTAACATTATTCTGATGGCACTTTGAATTCACCTTTGTCCATCCACTGTACTTTACATGACTGTGTTTGTCTGTAGAGGATTTTGACCTCTCCCAAGGTAGCCGTTGAGAAAAAAAACACATTCACATGATTGGCATTAGTGTGCAATGACAATGACCCCCCAGAGCTCTACTCATATTTATTACTGTCCACAGTGTGTCCTGCTGGTTTAAAGTCTCTATGACGTGACTAAACAGTGATGTTGGGGAGCCTAAATGGTGTTCAGCTGCAGGAGCTGCTTTGATGAGGAAACACCTGTTATCACCAGTAACACCTGCAACCGCTAGCAGCCCACACCATAGAACTAGAATCATATTACATCACCACAGAACTAGAATCACATTACATCGCCATTTACTAGAATCACATTACATCACCATAGAACTAGAATCATATTACATCACCACAGAACTAGAATCACATTACATCACCATAGAACTAGAATCACATTACATCACCATAGAACTAGAATCATATTATATCACCACAGAACTAGAATCATATTATATCACCACAGAACTAGAATCACATTACATCACCATAGAACTAGAATCACATTACATCACCATATAACTAGAATCATATTATATCACCACAGAACTAGAATCACATTACATCACCATAGAACTAGAATCACATTACATCACCATAGAACTAGAATCATATTATATCACCACAGAACTAGAATCACATTACATCACCATAGAACTAGAATCACATTACATCACCATAGAACTAGAATCACATTACATCACCATAGAACTAGAATCATATTATATCACCACAGAACTAGAATCACATTACATCACCATAGAACTAGAATCATATTATATCACCACAGAACTAGAATCACTGATTCTTGTTCTTTGTTTCTTGTACAAGGTAACAAAATCAATCAAAACAAAATCAATAGTGCTCTTCCTTTTTTACATCACAATCACCATTGTACCGTTTTTTTATTTTTACATTGCAAAGAAAACAGAGAAAACACTAATTTCCTCTCTACAATCACTAGAACACATTCATTATTCTTGTCTTTCAAAGAACTGCATAATTGTTGGCCATGTAGTTGAAAATGTCCCAACATGACTAAATAAAGTGTTAGCTGAGGCCCGTGTAACTTGGTTAGAAGTCATGTATGTTGCTTGTTTCCTCCAGATAGTGATGCTGGCCCCCACCATTTTTTAGCTATTCCAACTATAGCAGAACACGTCAGTGTGACACAACCATGATCTGCTTGGATATATCCATCAATGGAGAAAGATGACTTCAGGACTGATATTGTATTACATTTTTCATATCAAACACCACAAATATCAATATGGTTATCTGAAGTCTAAACGGAGAGCCTCTTTTTGTTTCATGTTTGGCTAAACATGGGGCGGCAGGTGGCTTAGTGGTTAAGAGCGTTGTGCCAGTAACCGAAAGGTCGCTGGTTCTAATCCCAGAGCCGACTAGGTGAAAAATCTGTCGATGTGCCCTTGAGCAAGGCACTTAACCCTAATTGCTCCTGTAAGTCGCTCTGGATAAGAGCGTCTGCTAAATGACAAAAAAAAAAAAAAAAAAAAAAAAAAAAGCTAAGGCTGAACAATTCACTCAGTGTTCTCTAATATCAATTATTAATCAAATAATAACCCAGACATGACCGTGTACTCTGTTCTCCTAGTTCAAGAATTGTGTATTTTTGTATGGTTCAGTACCTTCAGGGGGAGAATACTGGTACGTTATACTTAACGGGACGTCGTTGGCTGTAAAATATTGATTTATTAGTGCCTGGCCACTACCAGCCTATGCCGTTAATTCATCTGCAGATGTTTATGATGTCGTAAATACGGACAAGGCCTAAGCTCGAACCGAACCTGTGAGCAGCAACCCATCAGGTTTATTACACCTATAATAAAAATACCGGATAGGATGTGTTTGTCTGACCTCTGATCTCTATTATTAGGACAGCTTTGATTGGATTTAGAGAGGTCGTTGGCCCTGTTTGAATACTGTTAGAATAAGTAACATGATTTAATAGATGACCAATCCAGGCATGTCCATGTCAGGCTAGTGAATACTTCAAGGAAAGGAGGAAGGAAGGATGCATTTTCAAGGACAGAAGTATTCAAACAGAGCCTTTATACGACATGGCAGCATGCCGTTTCTTTATGAGTGATCTACTGCCATCTATTGGTCAGTTCACTCAATGGCAGCCAAGTGCCAGTGCATGATCCACTATATTGTGTATAACAGCCACCTTGGCTAAACATGTTGTAATTTGACAAAACGAAGTGTCATTGCTCAGAGCTAGATGTACAACGCTAGATTTACCTGTGCAAAATCTATTTGTGAGAAATACAACGAGTTGCTCATATCACTTGCATTTTTATCAAGACAACACAAAACGCAGCTCGACATTTTCACTTTTTTATTACAAAGGTTGTGTATGCCTACAGAAAAAAACTGTTTGGCCCATAACATACACAGAGCTAGTAGTAAGCACTGCTAAAAGAACAGTTCAAGTGTTGTAATGTTAGAAAAGGTTTCCTACAAAGCAGCGGACGGGTAACTACAGAAACTAGCAGTACAGTTATTATTTAATGATAAGAAGCAGCATTAAATTAACAAACATTTCAAGGCTTTGAAGTAATGATTAAAAACATATGAATACAATATACAAAAGTAATTACTGGTTTTAAAAAAAATCACTACACATCTACAGCAGTGGAGGCTGCTGAGGGGAGGACAGCTCATAATAATGGCTGGAACAGAGCGAATGGAATGACATCAAACATATGGAAACCATGAGTTTGATGCATTTGACACCATTCCACTGATTCCGCTCCAGCCATTACCACGAGCCCGTTCTCCCCAATTAAGGTGCCACCAACCTCCTGTGATCGACAGTTCAAGTAGATTATCAGCACTCTTTGGTGTGATGTAACTTTTCCTCAATTACTCCCCCCCAAAATAATTTCAGACGCCAAACTATAATGCACATATAGTTTAATGCATTAAATACAGTACTTCGATATTTCACTCTAGTCTCCAGTATATACCGCTGGATAACTAAGTAATTCAAGTATCTTGTAACATCATCAAATCATTTCACATTTAGTTTTCACCTTGCATGCGGTGGCGTACGCACATACACATTGACTGAGAGAGCTATGCTGGTATTTGGTATCATCCTTAAAGCACAACTATTGGAAACCTGTAAACCACATTAGTGTTGTAAAAATACATAACCCTTTGGAGTGGCCAGTCTTTGTACCAAAAACCCTGGCAGCCATTTTGTAAAGTTGACTTCTTCAACCCTCTGTCTGGTCAGTAAACAGCTGAAATACAGTCACTCCTTTTGTTATTCTGGTCTCAGAAGTAGGCCTTAATCTCACCAATGTATTGCTGTGACTGCTTAAAGGAAAACTCCACCCCAAAAACGATCTTTTGGTATTTGTTTCATTAGTCCATTGTTGACACAGTCCCAAAATGTTTTGCATGTCAGCAATCAAGTTTTCAAGATATGTAACTTTCAAAATACAGAAATCTGGCCCTCATATGATGCTGCGCTTTGCTTAATATGATGCAAAATGCATCATACGTGTCAACAATGGACTAATGAAACAAATACCAAAAGATAGTTTTTGGGTGGAGTTGTCCTTTAAATTAAGAAATAATTTGCTCAGTGAAAACCAGTGGTTTTTAAACCTCTCTTAGAGCCAGGTCAGTTCCCCGCTAGGAGTGCAACTGAGAGGCCGTAAACGTATCGATATCTCTTCGACATCATGACTTATTATCAACACCAGTTTCTGAAATGTGTCATCATGGGAAACCTTTCAGCTCCCACAGATAACATTCACCTATGATCAACTGTTTTCTCTTTTCCTACGGATACCGTTTTTACTGAATCCCTATGGGGCCAGCTAAAGAGAAAGTCTCAAAAATCAGACGTACATTCTTAAATACTTAGTGCTAAAAGTAGAGTAACATCATCAGAATTGTTACTCAATAGTCCCAATACTCAACATATATATTAGCTAATATATAAATAACGTTGGGATACAATAAAGTGAGGTGTGGAGGGATTACCAAGGTAGCTCAATCGTTCTAACATATGAGTGGTACCTAACTCCCACCACAGGAGGGCACTAAAACAAAAGAAGACAACAACACTGCTTCACTGAGTCCTCTGATAGTTATCTGTGTCCCACAGTCCAATCACGAGGCGCTCCAGGGTGAAGTTTCCTCTAGGCACAGATCTAGGATAAGCTCCCCCTCCCCCAATCCTAACCTTAACCATTAGAGGAGAAAATGCAAACTGACCCAAGATCAGAGTCTAGGGGCAACTTCGCCCTACATGATGATGAGGCACTTAAAGGAGGTATCGTATAGACTAGCATTCATTCACTAGTAATAAGGCGAAGCACCAGTGGTATGAAACCAACACAGTTAGGTCATACAGAAAAGCGACCACCTGAGAGTCAGTGTGTCGGGAGTAAAGCCCAAGCTAGCGCGGTCAGCAGCACGTTTAGCCGGAGAGAGCAACATGTATTCATTCCACTCGGGCCACTAGGCAGCCCTTTAGGTTATAACTAACAGCCACACCCACTTTAAAGGTCCCCAGACTTCTAATTGGTTGGTAGGTGGCCGATGTCCAGCCTCCTTTGGGCGGAGCCTCGTCGGCGGGCCAGGGGGGTTGTGGTGGCCGTTCCCAGGGTCCCCGGTGTCTGGAAGAAGGCCTTGGAGCCTCCGCCGGCTGCCGCCTCCTTGGGAGTCTGTGGTGTCTGTGGAGGAAAGAGATGAGAGAGTGAGGCCCTGAAACCACACAGTTTAAGGAGAGCTGCATCTGCCGAGCGTCTCACTCCAGAAAAATTATCAACCCTGGCAGTCGAGTATCACTGTGACAGTATTCCATCCCCCCTCACCCCCTCTTCCAAATACCAGCCTTATAAAATACCACTCAATTTAATTCTAAGTAACACAAAGTTTTCCAGCGAAGGATACATTTCAGCTTGAACGGGGGCACTGCGAAACATAGCTATGCATTTCTAAGCAGAGCAATCGAACAACCTCAATTTGGAAACGGACCACTTGTATACAGACTTCATTTCATCAATGTTAGGAGAGGGGGCGCATAGCAGGAGTGGGAGACAGTGTACATGGCTGATAAACATTTTTTTTTTACGGATGTACACGTTGGCTCGTCCCATCATTAATAATGTCCCTTCATTTGGCGCCGAAGGTCTAACGAGGGAGGCTTCGTCCCAAATGGCACCCTATTCCCTACATAGTGCACTACTTTTGACAAAAGTCCTATGGGCTCTGGTCAAAAGTAGTGAATTATAGCTATAGGGAATAGAGTGCCATCTGAGAAGTGTCCTCTCGAGGCACAGAGAGACATCATCAGAGCTATGCTGGGGAGCATTCATTGTCTTTTAATGGCCTAAAGATTAATCAACACTACCGAGGTGAAAAAAGCAACATTTCGTTTAGGGGATAATCTTTGAAAGCAAACAAAAGCTGAACTGCTGTGGAGTAGTTAAACATGATAAACTGAGTCAAGTTAGACGGTGGCATTTCCAGAGTGTCTGTCTGCTACCCAAAAGGTCATACATCATGTGACTGGATTTTAAAAAGTACCCAATTTACCAACTGCTTTCCAAATACAATCTGATCCATGTAAAGTGGTTAAGGCACTGTCTGTCTGCCTGTCTGTCTGCCTGTCTGTCTGTCTGCCTGTCTGTCTGCCTGTCTGTCTGCCTGTCTCACCTGTGTCTCTGTCTGGATGAAGGTCAGAGGCGGCCTGGGCTCCAAGGGAGAATGTGGAGGTATGGGTCCCGACCCGAACAGCCGGTGCTGCTCTGGACTGGAGAGGGCCGGCGCCACTGCCAATCCACTGAACTCTGGGGCTCCGGCCACGGCGGCTCCCATCACGAAGCAGGCGGGGGACATCATGGCGGACATGTTGAAATTGAGGTTGGCATGGGCATCGCCCCCGTTGGCCATGAGCGGGTAGGGGGAGAGGGTGGAGGAGGACACGAGGACGTAGGGCAGGGTCAGAGTGGGCATGGTGCCAGCAGGTAGAGTCAGGCCGTCTGGCGTCTGACCAGCAGAGAGGAGGAAGTTGAGACTGTTGAGACCTGGAGGGGAGAGGGGAGTGAGGACGAGTCATCTGTGAAAAAATGGCACCCTATTCCCTATTTAGTGCACTACTTTTGACCAGCGCCCTATGGAGCCATGAGGAGGGGGAGGATACATCGCTTCAACCAACAGGAGACGAGGTACAGCCCAAAATTACAACCACATCTAGAAAAATAGGTGTGGAAGACTACAAAACCCTACATGGGACTGAGGTCACTACGTTAAGGACACTGCTCCTAAGTAGACCTTACGCATCTATCAACACTATCTGTACAGTCCAATATCCATACTGGTAGAGTCTAATGTCATGTTTTAGACAAGCAAACTAAAAGAATGACGCTTGTGTGGATAATGAGATACACATGGAATGTAGATTTTTGCTTTGTAACTGAGCAACACTGCAACACTGACTGACTGGTAGCGAGTTGTTTTTAACATAGCATACCTGCAGAGTTAGGCACATAGAGGTAGTGTGAAGGCTGGACCTGGTTGTTGGGGGGGCTGTGTCTGCCCACCTCCCCGTCTCTGATGTCCCTCAATGAGGCCTCTTCCCTGGCTAGCCCCCCTGGTTGGCCTGGGGAGCTGGTCCTTGGGCTGGTGGTCATCTGCAAGCTGTTCCCCTCCACACTCCTTCCCTCCACACTCTTCCTCTAGGAAAATAAAAACAAGAGACATGTTAAGAGGTGTAGGGTGAAGTTGCCCCTAGACGCTGATCTTGGGTCAGTTTTGCATTTTCCCCACTAATAGTTAAGGTTAGGATTTGGGGAGGGGAAACTGATCCTAGAAATGTACCTACACTCTTAGAAAAAAGGGTTCCAAAAGGGTTCTTTGGCTGTCCCCATAGGAGAACCCTTTTTGGTTCCAGGTAGAACCCTTTTGGGTTCCATGTAGAACCCTCTGTACGGGGACAGCCGAAGAACTCTTTAAGGTTCTAGATGGCACCTTTTTTTCTAAGAGTGTAGGGGAAACTTCACCCCGGAATCAGATGCGTGTGAAAAGGAAGATACCCTCCTGAGAGTTAAATAAAACAAATGCCTTGAGGATTCAGTGTTCATGCCAGCCATATTCTTCCGTTTTAATGTGACCCTCCCACAGCCCAATGCTGCAGCGCTCCCTGGTGCATCCCAGAAATAATTTACGATGAGCTTTGATCACATTTCCCTCTCAAATAATGAAATTGCATGGCTCATTTACCAAAATCATAGCTCTGATTTGCTAATTGTTCAAGCACAAGTAATGTGAAATGCTATGCTTCCTCTGCAGAGGATTTTGTGACTTTGGTTTAGGTCCATTTTCTAGACCACTGCTAGGTAAGATATACTGGGTGTATCTGAGCACACCTCACATTACTTTTCTAGCTCCTCAAGTTTAATGGAAGTGAGAGGGTAAGATTAATAGTGTGGAGTTTTGTACAATTAAAAATAGCCCATACATCACCAAAATGATAATGCCATTGTGTTTAATTAAAATTTAGAATAATTGTATCCTAATCAGTGAGCATGCAGTGATTCATATTTTAATTTAATACTCTGCTTTCGGGAATCATTAACAAGATTTTCTGAATTTTCTACATTAAATCAGAGCATGTATGATGATGAAATATACTGAAATAATGTTGTCCTCTACTACTTCAATGTCTTCATATCATCATAATGACCTCTACTACTTCAATGTCTTCATATCATCATAATGTCCTTTACAATGTCTTCATATGATCATAATGTCCTTTACAATGTCTTAATATCATCATAATGTCCTTTACAATGTCTTCATATCATCATAATGTCCTTTACAATGTCTTCATATCATCATAATGACCTTTACAATATCTTCATAATGACCTTTACAATGTATTCATATCATCATAATGTCCTTTACAATGTCTTCATACCATCATCGGAAGCTCTCGATTCCCTAATCAATCAGTATAATGTTGCTAAGCAACTTTGGAGGAAACCTCTTTTCATTATGATGAGATCTCTAAACATAAACAGCACATTCTTCTGAGTTATGTCTTTCACCTTCACATGTACTGAACCTCAGAAAATCACGGGCAGCCTCTCAAATGGCACCCTATTCCCTACATAGTGCACTACTTTTGGTCAGGGCCCATAGGGAACAAGGTGCCATTTGGGACACACCCGTGGAGGAAAATGAAACTCCCTCCTTGGAGAAAACATTCCCGTACGTAAAACAAACCATTTGGGGATTACACTGGTCTGACTCCCCCCTACGAGTTCAGGACGGAGTCCCAAATGGCACCCTATTCCCTACATAGTGCACTACCCTATGGACCCTGGTCAAAAGTAGTGCACTATATAGTAAATCGGGTGCCATATAGAAAGCAACCCAGATACTTCCAGTACAAACGCTGAATGAAAGCAACAGAGGACAAAGTTATGCACTGTAACTGTGCAACTGTGATCTTTAGAGTCGGTCTAATTGGAGTGTCCAGACAGACAGGCAGCTGTGTGTGTGTGTGTGTGTGAGATTTCCCAGCAGTAGTATCAGTGTGAGAGTCACTCTTATAAATAACAAAAGGGCATCATTGGGAAGCTCATTATTGACAATGCATAAAGAGTGTACTGGTCACCTTGGAAACCAACCAGTGTTATGAAGACTGAGGGCTCTGTTCAATCAGATCTGCTTTAGCCGACATCCGCATAGAGGTTGTTTTGGTGGTGTCGGAGATGGAACTGCGTTAGCGCTGTCAAATCTACAAGCAGCTCACGTCATTATACCTAAAGCGGACATTGCTATTGGCAATCTGAGCATCATTATTTCAATATAGCCTACACTTTCTCGTTCTGAACTTTAACGCGAGTGGGAGGGGTGTGGCTTCATGACAATGATCAAGAGCAGCTGCTCACTGATCTGACAGCTCCAACGCAGTTACACCTCTGACACTGCCAAAACATCCGCTATGCAGGTGTCAGCTATTGCTGGTTAACGTTAGATATTACTGCACTGTCGGAGCTGGAAGCACAAGCATTTTGCTACACCCGCAATAACATCTGCTAAACACGTGTATGTGACAAATAAAATGTGATCTGACTGAATCTACGCCTGAGACGTTACAGTAAGAAGCATCGCTGTCCCTGACCTGTCTTGTTGGTTGTCAAATCACCACGCTTCTAATTAAAGGGGAAGTTTACTTTTTCATTACTTTCAGGGTGAGGAACCCTCTAACATTAAGTAGTAAAACACTGAACTTCCCCTTTAAATCAGGATCATACATTATTGTGATTGGTCTAGCAGGAGTAGGATGAAGTGGTCACTAGACACTGATCTACAGTGACCTAAGGTCAAAATTGCAGTTGGGATGAGTAATCTGATGCTAGGTACAGTGTGTACATATGGCCAACGCCTACCTGAAGCTTGTAAGGCTTATGGTGAATCTATCAGAGATCCACAGTCCATCTGTGGATTTCACTTTTCCCCATAAACTCACCTCTTCAGACAGCTCAGGCGACACCCTCGTGTCTTTTTTCGCCCTCTTCTCCTCCTCCGCTCCTTCATCCCTCTTCCTCTTCCCCAGGATGCTCTCTCCGGACCCTGACGACCTTTGAACTTCCGTGGTCAAGCGGTGAAGCCCCTCCTGCGCTGCCGGACCTCCGTACAGCATGACCACCGAGGCCTGGGACAGGCTGGGTAGATAGGCCATGTGGTGGGGATGGGGGGACAGGGGTCCCACGTATGGACCCTCTGGGTGGATGGGCACGGCCAGGGGGGATAGGCCCGGGGAGCAGAGCAGGGAGCTGCCGTCACTGTGGGTGGGGCTCCGAAGTCCGCCGCTGGGGTGGGAGGCACTGCAAAGACAGAGAGGAACCAACTTAGACATCAGTTTCTGTCATTCTCTTCAGGCAAATGCTCTGTAACAGGGCTGTCAAATTCCATTTCTGGAGGGGCCGAGTGTCTGCGGGTTTTCGCTCCAATTAAGGTTATTCATTAGTTAGGAACTCTCTAGGTCTAAATTGGACATGGTCCTTTATGAATTGAGTTTGACAACCCTGCATTATACTGTTTATAAAAACAAAATGGCACATTAGAATGTAGCAACATAAAGTAGTAAAATCCTTAAATGCTCTTTTTGTCAGAAACCCAAAACAATGTGGTGCATTAGTCAGTGTTCAGATTTTCTAAGAAATAATAACACTCCCTCTCAGCAGTTTGGAACCAGCAACCTTTACTCGACTCCTCCCCTCCTCCATCCCCACTCCAAAAACACTTAGAGCAGCAACAGCCTTGAGACGGCTGTGGCTTGGCCACCGGTGAAATAGCCACCACATCCCTAGTAGAAATGGTCAGAAACCGAGAGAACCAGGAGAAACTGCAGCCAACTCATGTAAAACATGTCAAACCCAGCCTAAAGCTTGACGTGGGAGCCAACGCCAACAAACAAGGGTAAGAGTAAAAATTCAAAGCGAAACATTACAAAAACCACCTTTTATAAATTAAATGAACTGTGAAGACGAGGACCAATAACAGTTTGCGGAGAGTTTCAGCCGACCTATTAAAAACTCCAAGCCGGAGCCTCTGGGGCTGGTCATTTGCACGCATCACTTCCTCTAAGGGCCCAGTTTCCTGTTCCTGAGCTCCAACTAAATCACTGCATAGGTTACGTCTCAAATGGCACCCTATTCCCTATGTAGTGCACTACTTTTGACCTATTAGTGCACTATTAGGAGATAGGGTGCCATTTGGGATACATCCATTCATTTTATTCACATGGCAGCCCTGTTGTATGTCTGTTGTATACCAATGGGCCTTACGCGCCATTACATTCAACCAACAAGCTAGTCCTTCGCAACAGGTTGGCCATCAGTGTAATAGATCATGAAATGTAACACATAAGTCGTGGATTGTTTGCAGTAAATCTAAAGTTAGTACTATTGGATGGCGTGATCAGGAACAGGATTCATAGCCACCTGGGATGTTTGGTGTGTGAGGGTGAGCCTCCTTCCGTGTGTGTTCTACTTACCCTGTAACAGTGGTTCCAAACCTCAGCCGGCACACGGCGCTGCTGCTCACACACTTTCTGGAATAGTCCACTGGCTGGGGAAGCAGACCTGGACAGAACCGAAGGAGACGTGAGATACTCAATTACATTTACAGGTATTACTTTATTTGGATACCCAAATAGATGGTTTGTAGATGTTCAACTAACTACCCACTTGCCCTAACCTTATCCTAAGTCTTAACTCTAACAGTAACCCTAACATATCAACAGATTAGTAGTGGATTGTTGGTTGATGGTTGACAGCACCATGCTATAACCCACGTAGCCATTGGTGATGTGAGCGGTCTGTCCTGACTCCTTACCTGTGACCTCTCTGCGTGGGCTGCTGGGGGCCGAGTTGACGAGGCGTTGGCTGGCCACGGAGGTGGGCACCACGCTGAAGGAGGCGTGGCGTGCCAGCTTCTGTTTCCTGCCGCCTGGAAGAGCAATGGCCTCCACAGCCTCCGAGTCCTCTGTTGAAAAACATTTGAGTGGCCAGTGAGTTCTGTGTGGTAGTAGGAGTAGGGTGAAGTTGCCCCTAGACGCTGATCTTGGGTCAGTTTTGCATTTTCCCCACTAATAGTTAAGGTTAGAATTGGAGGAGGGGAAGCTGATCCTAGATCTGTACCTAGGGGAAATTCATCCCAGAGCGTGTTAGTCTTGGTCAATAGACAAGTTTATGATTAGTTTTTAGTAGTGAAGACAGTTCCATTATTAATGTATAATGCATCTATATCCATTTACTGTAATATTGGTTAATATATAGTCTCTCTATGAAGCACTGAGCTAATGCCCATCTGAACCAATATGGGAGTGATGTTATTTGTTTTACCACCGAGGACCACTTTGGAAAGTGTTTTAATGAATGCTTTTAAGCGCTATCCTCTGGGTATCCACATCTTGTTGTATTATTCACTACCCAAATCATTTCAATTCAATCTTACCATGGCTGGGTGTGGAAGTCTGCCGGGCCGATCCATTTGAAGGCAGGCTTCCTCCCCCTCTCCTCCCGGACGTGGACCTTCTTGATCAATCCCAGACTCGTCAGGACGTTGGCGATGTCATAAAGCCGCCGCACCTTAGCTGAAGACAGATTAGAATCAGAGTTATCGTTTAGATCTATCACCACAGTAAAAAGGCCAATTGGAGGGACGTCTGGGGGTATCTGAGGTGTCCAGTGAAGTTGCCCCTAGACACTGATCTTGGGTCAGTTTTCCATCTTCCCCACTAATGGTTAAGGTTAGGATTAGGAGAGGGGAAGCTGATCCTAGACCTACACTAGGGGAAACTTCAACCCGCAGCTATTTGGTGGCTGGGTTGTGATCATTCGGCCCCAAAGGGAAGAAACTGACTGAAACAGGCAGGGACGACCTGGACTTGCTATTGTGTCAGAGGCTCTTCGACTGCACGCCAAAATCCTCAAGATCCCTTTGGGCTCTGGTCAAAAGTTGTGCACTTTGTAGGGTAACAGAATCCTTACTTTTGTACTTGCTGTGGCTGGCGGGGTCCTGGCTTTCCTCGATGAGGATCTTGGCAGCCACGTCCAGAGTGACTGTCTGGGTCCTGGACACCAGGAAGAGCATGACAAACTTCTGACTCATGATGCGTAGGGACTTGTCTTTCCTCGTGCTGGCGGCCGCTGCAAACAGACAAGCAGAACAAAGTTAAAGGGAGTACTGGGTCCTATTCACTGAGTGGCAAATGGAAGAAAATAGAAAACATGGAGGGAACTACCGGAACCTGTCCAATAAGAAATGCTTGTTTTCGCTTTCCATTGCAAAACGTTTTGCGATGGTGCGCACTAATGAATAGGACGTTGCAGTGGCTTGTATGGTCTAGTGCTCAGTGCTGCCGACAGCATAGCTACATACCGGCGTCAGCATGGGTTTGAATCCGACCTACAGCATGTCACACGCTCCTCCTATAATAATAATAGTACAACTTTATTGTACATGTTACAGAGAAACGGGAATTTGATTCAAGACCTGAGTTACCTGTCAAACAGGTTGTCTTGTCAAACAGGACCACAATACGAACCACAACATTCCTTATTCAGTGAGAGAGAGGACTCTCCCCTCCTCTCCCTGAGGGTGACACCAACGGGACACGTTATGACAGGAGGTGGCAGGCCTAGTGTTCTGCAGGGGGGGACGCCAGATCCATGGCAACCACTGCCTCTAGGGAACCGTAGCTTTGGACTGTTGTTAGCTAGCTACATGCAGCTACCTAATTAGCCTTGTCGAAACACACAGCTAACCGCAAACACAACCACAGTAACAGTCATAATTACAGTAACCACGTCAACATTACAGTAATGAATAATTGCCTCCACCGCGACAGTTTGACTTTCTGACAAGATAATGAATTTTCTCATAAACACAAATGAAATAACTGTCAGTTAGACTCGACAATGTCATTCGGCAGCGAACACAGAGAGCAAAACACATTGAGTCAACAGCAGTGGTTGGTACACCGTCATTATTTCTTAGTGGCAGGAAGCCCTGACGCAAATCAGCAGCCAGATGTTTTTTCTTCATTACTGAGTGCTTCAAGAGGTAATGTGTTCCAACACAGCACCCAGTACTGAAATAATACACACGGTTCTAAATTAACGCTAGTTAATTAGCCTTTAAGCCCAAGTCAATGAAAGCATTCCTCATCGTCATGGAGACGGGAGTGGCGGCCTCAAGGTTTATCAAGGCTGATGGGATTCTTAGCATTAATGTTTGTTTCTTTGTAATGACAATGCGCTCCTCGTCAATGTGATGGATCACTGATACAACTGGGAGATGACAGCAGAGGAATGGCGACTGAGCTTTTGTTGTGGCACATATTAACTAGTAATCTCCAAACACCCGTTGAAGTTAATTAACCAGACTGTTTGACTAATAATGACACAGGGTATAAGTGATCCATTACCTGTTGTGAAAAGCTCTGGGGTGAACTTTTCCCCCAATCCTAACCTTAACCATTAGTGCGGAAAATATAACACTGACCCAAGATCAGCATCTAGGGGCAACTTCACGCTACTCCTGTCACGGAGACGGTTGACCAGAATGCATTGCGGTCTAGAAAGTAGCTTGTTACAGTTGACCTAACCTTCAGTAATCAGATTTCCTGTATTTAGACAGAAAATAGGACAAAATAATTTTGTAAAACACACACACACCCGGCACATCCAAATGAATCCAAACTTGAGATACACACAGAGCATGAACGCATGCCAAATCTCCCATTGACATACATACATAATTGACACCAAACTTCTAGCTTCACTCACACATCCCAAATTATAATTCAACCCTGTGTCCATCAGCCGCCCCTGATCTAGCAATCACAGATTGTCCCTTTAGGAAAATGTAAAACTATACCAAGGTCAGCATCTAGGGGCAACCTCCCCCTACTCTGCTCTCACCACAGCTGGAGTCTGCTTCACCTCCCTCCTCTGGGGGGTGTGTGGTGGCTCCCTCTCTGTGACCGCCCTCCCATGGCCTGCTCCATGTGCAGGTGGTAGCGCTGCTGCCTGCCCATCCCCTGCAGCTCGGCCAGGGTGGACCCCAGATGCCGGCGCCCGTACCACACGTATTGGTTCTTAGCCACGCGCCCCAGGATCATCAGAGACTCCAGGACGTTTACGACGTCGTAGATCCGCCGCCGCTCCACTCCTAAAGACAGACACACACCAGGGACAGGTCAGACTGGGGTTAGCAACATGACATCACTGTTACGTTATGTGAGCTGGTTATATTGCAAAGCTATAACTAAGGTACCACATTGTTTCACAAGAGGATTTCATGACGCAGTAGATCATGTTTGGCTGCATCTTAACTTTCCTCATAGTCTCAGACATGGCTTGGTTTATACTACAGCCTGGTGCTATTCTAGAAGGTACAGTGGTTTATACTACAACCTGGTGCTATTCTGGAAGGTACAGTAGGATACGAGGGCTCTGCATGAAGGTATCCATAGCAACCGTCTCCAAAATCCAATAATGCATGAAACTTCACATTGCTCATAAAACGGATATTACATTAGCTGTTTCCATTATGGTCTTCCTTTCTGTGCGGTTACCAATTATGGCAGCCTCCCTGGGCTGGGTCGTGTTCATTAGTCATCAAACGGAAGACAACGGGTCATTTGTATCTCAGTTGGGAGAGGATGGCGCTTGTAACGCAAGGGTAGTGGGTTCCATTTCCAGGACCACCCATATGTAAAATGTATGCACGCATGACGGTAAGTCGCTTCGGATAAAAGCATCTGCCTAATGGTATTTATTATTTAACGGACTGAAACAGGGAGGGACCGCTGAAACATTTGCAAAACATTTTGCATTGCTTGCCCTAATGAACATGACCCAGGTGTAGCTGTAAATCTCCCTCTCTGGTTTCATTGTCTCTTACCCAAGCTGGTAGACACCTCGTCCAATGAGATGCTGATGGTGTCAGAGGTTGGATAGTCCGGATACAGGGCCAGGAACTTCTGGCACAGCAGACCCAGGCTCTTCTGCTTCCTGCTGGGCTTTGTCCCCCCCCCCTCTTCCTCCTCCTCGTCCACCACATCAAACTGATCAGAGAGACAAAGCATTGGCAAGAAATGTATTCAGTCAAGAATTGTAAACATTTACCACAGCATTATACTTTTAAGATTTCAGCATCTACAAATCCATTAGTTGGAAGATGATAATCAAATCCAACAGTATGATGATAATGTCACTGTATTCGGGATAACATATCCTACCAGCACAGTTTCTGGCATAACCTTTGCTAATCTCATTCCATACAAACTACCCATAACACAATACCAAATGCTCGCCCAAAGGCGGCCATCACCATCAATTCAGTATAGGGGGTCAGTGAGAGTGTCCCGAATGATATCCTATTCCCTATACAGTTTACTACTTTTTTTTACTTTTAGCCCTATGGGCCCTGGTTAAAAGTGGTGCACTATAAAGGGAACAGGGTGCCATTTGGGACGCAAAGAGTGAGTGGTCAAAGGGTACCTGGCACGTGCCATCCACCTCGACATCCTCCAATGCTCTCTCATTCTCAATGGGCCTAAACAGCACCTTCTTCATCTCTCTGTCGCGGATGTCAGGGCTGGCAGCACTGATGAGCATCCTGAGGTTGGCCGTGGGGGTCCAGGGGTCCGCCCCCCGCTCAGAAGGCTTAACAGGGGTGCCGTGGAGGTGTTCCGGGGTGGGAGCCTTGCTGCCATACAGCAGCATGGTGGCCGTGGTGTCCATCTTGTGAGGGGTGGTTCTTCTTCGATCCACACATCTGTTCTCCTGTGAAGGAGCATGATGTTAAGAACTTTGATTAAGTGGGGTGGAGTGATATGAAATGTGGTGCATTTGTAGGCGGATCTACTTAATATAAGTATTGTAATAACGTAAGCTTAACTATCTAAATCATGTGAGAAAGATAATCTTATTTCAAGACACTCCAGGCATGTCATATAACTGTGCTACAAATTCATGAAAAGAGGAATTGACTGAAGATTGTTTCTGAGGGTGTCTCTTCAATAAGGAATAATATGGATATAAATAATAAGGAATTGAAGGGTTCATTTGACTTTGAATCAAAACATACCTTCTGATCATTTCTGCCTCTGACATCCTCTATGTCTGCTTTGCTCTTCTTTGGACTTATGAGATCTCTCAAAGCTAGACATTCAACTTCCATCTGAAAAACAATCAGCCATTTCATTTTAATTTGTCTCTGAACTGTGCAGAAAGGTCGTTATTTAGTTTCATACAGTCATATTTCAGTCACTACTTTGCTATAGCCAAATACAGCAAATAGATCGATCTATTACAGGGCCATAAGATATCAGTGGTCAGAAGATTTTGGCGCAAAGACCTTAGCCCACCTAACGTTTGCTGATGACCCTAGCTAGCTATCTAACAAGCTAGCTATCTGCTATCACATCTAATTCTGACACGTTCAATACTGAATATTGCTACTGTAAAAGCCCTGATGGCAAGATGAATACACAATAAATAGTTACATTTTAGCTATAGTAAACAATGGAAAAACTTTGCAAAAAAAGGATGCAATCTTGGGAAGTATTTTCTTGGGGCAAATTGAGTATTAATACTGATCCATTCAACATGGGACACTTAGCTAGCTACAAGCTACCAGGTTGCAAGACAAAAAGTAGATATACTGTTAATCAATAAACAACAAATATTTGGCTATTTACTTATACATACATATCTAGCTACCTAGCTACATTATTTACCTGCTGGCTGGCATCTACTGTAACTAGGCTAACTAGTGATTAATATTTACTCACCTTCTTCAGCGTTTCCTACGTAACGTACGAAGATAAAGATATCAATACCAATGTACAGTATCTCCAATTGCACAGACTTATTGTTGGTACGTTGTTTATTCAAATCAACATAATTTTCATTTCTGAAGTAAGCGGGCTTCTTCAAATATCCAGCTTTAAAGCTTCTCCTGTCTTGCTAACGTTACTTGTTTTGGAATTGCATTACTGAACAGGAACAGCTACAACCAAAAACACCCGCTAAAACTTTTTTTTTCTGGCGCTCTCATACGTTTCACTCAGTCGAGCCAATCAGCATCTAGATGTTGTGACGCATAATATTGATTCATCCAATAGGCAAGGGGCAATAACCAACGCCTCCAGAGATTTCTTGGCGGGGCACTAGGCGCGGTCTTGACTGGGAGTCGGGCTGTTCAGTTTGACTGCTGCTGTTCATGGTGTTTGAGTGGCATAGCCGCGCACCTAGAAACCCTATTAATAACCCTAATCACAGAGTCTTTGTTGCTGCATGTATAGACCACGGACCCACTGCGGTTCCATCTAATTAGCTTGCGTGGCTCAGGGAAACAGATGGGACAGGAGTGGGTGGCGCTCATTCTACCTATGACACCGCGCGAAAAAGTTGTAATGTGAGGAGCCCAATACCCAGGGTCCCGCCCTCAGGCTTTCCCAGTCCCTCGAGTTGTCCCAGGTTATCACACAATCCCCGCCCAATATTTCAAACCAGTTTACTTTGAAAAATGTAGGTTTACAGAAATAATATATAATTCATATTCTTGATTTATTTGCAAAAAACGAAAAAAAAATGCAGATACATGGGATCAAATATTGCATATTTCATGTATTAGCAATTATTGAATTGTAAATGTATACAATGCAAAATTAGCAATGCAGATCAATAGGCTATTGATTGGTCCTGGTAGCCTATGCTATATCTCTGCTTTCAGAGAGATAGCATCTTCCCATCTTCCCAAAGCACCTGCATCTTCCCAAAGCACCTGAAACCCTACCTCTTGAAAGAGAATCTTAAATAATCCTCCTCACCTCGTTTGTCTACTGGCAACAAGAGGCATTGCCCACCTCCTTGGGTAGAGATAATTCAGAGGCTCATAAATGTTATCCACTAAATGTCACATCAGAGTTCCCCTCTGCACCAATGTTAGAAGCCATAAATTGTTCTTGCATCTTTGATATGTTCTAAAATAACGTTCAGATTGAACTCCAAAAGCATTAACTCTGGTCAGTCACATTATGTTTGGCACTGTGGAATAGTGAGCAGTTGCACTTACGGCTGCGTCAAGCCTCCCACTCTAATTGCCTCAGAATGCCACCCTGACATTTTCCTAACAGGTCCCTGGGAATTGTGGGAAATCAATGTGTATTAGTCTGAGGAGCGTTAGCCAATATTTGCAGTCCTTTAAACGACTCAAAATGTCTTCCAACTGCTGACATTTTAGATGGGCTCCATAAAAAATATAAAAACTTTACTGTAACTTTTCGTATCTGGACTGCTGTTACTATGCATCTCTGCTCGTCAGCTTTTTTGGTTATTCCAGTATAGGTGGGAAATATTCATAATAAACCACAACACAATGGGCATTGTGCTGCTACAATAGGATTCTACTACTGGGTTTGCATACAATTTGTATGAATGCACAATTTGTATGCAAACCCGGTAGCAGCCTCCTATTATAGCAGCAGAATGTCCATGATACAAATTAAGTCCTGACCATAGAGGAGAAGCCTGGCAGAGTGGCAGAGTGGCAGAGCACCGTGGCAGTACCCCCAGCCCACTCCGCCGTGATGTAACTGGATGCGTCCCAAATGGCACCCCATTCCCTTTATAGTGCACTACTTTTGACCAGGGCCCATAGGAATAAGGTGCCATTTGGGCTGCAGCCCGTGTCATTTTCTCTGGGCACAGCACCAGGGCTTGATAGGAATCAGAAAAGGTGGTTTTTTATCTCCCTGCTAACTATCATTGTGGTGCACAGCTGGACATTCATTCAGCTTGCAGCTTCATCTGCCCTGTACTGATAGCCCTATAGGCCTTGAACAGGTGGGAGTTGTGTTCAGACACTTCCTCCAACACATGAAGACAGGAAGATGAATGGGGGAGCACCTCTGCTTGGGCCCTGTTGGAATACTCCAGAAATAATCCTTCCTGCCTCCTACTTTCACAGATCTAAATTGGTGGTTGGATTGGTGAAAGTAACTGAGTGGTGACCTTGCACACCAATCCAATCACTTATAGATCTGTGCTTCTCTCTCAAGGAAACAAGGAAGGGTGCATTTTTTATGTCTTTCTAAGTATTCTTAACTCTGGGTTGATGTTGATGACCAATGCAATTTATCAAGGTCGTCAATCGGGACCATAATTAGCTGAATCAGGTGTGCTACTGCAGGGCTGGTAGGACAGCCTGCAAACAGTTGCTCTTCAGGCCCAGAGTTGGAGAACTCTGGACTAAGGCTTAGCTGTCCCCTGATGACAGCGTTGGTTTTCATGTGTCCATGGCAACACAGATGGAACAAACATTGAGAAGGGGTTCCATGGACCACAACAGCTGTCTGCTGAACACAGCATGCTTGTGAGGCAAACACTGGTGTAAACAAGTGTGCCATCTGTCATTGGCTAGGTGAATGATTACCTCTTAACCACCAATAGACAGTCGCATATGTCTTGTCCAACAGCCTTAAACATTATACCTTTGTGTGTGTGTGTATTATAAAATGCATTGGTTGATAGAAACTTTGGCTTGGGGCTGATATTAAAAACCGTATACTCCCTGAAAAGCTGTTAAGTTGGTAAACACAAACCTTCAGATGCATTAGAGTGATTCAGAAAAAGTATCTGCCAGACGTGGGCAGGGAATAGATTAGCCAGATTTCATCACAGTAATTCATAATAAACAGCAAGCTTGAGTTGACCAACTCCGTTTATTACATTGTTAGCAAACTGCTAAAAGCCCAGCGGCCTGGGACACAGATCGATCTTAATTGAAGGGATGGCATTTCATGAGTCTGGGCATTAGCATGACGCTAAAAGTGTTTAGTCAGTGGGCTCTCTGGACAGCATTCTAATGGGAGATCATCATAGGCCTGTTCAGAAACAACATTATCAGCAGATAAGGATCAAACTGAAGGAAACGGACTGTCCAATAAGAAACGTTAATTTTTCTATTCCGTTGCAAAACGTTTTAAAACGTTGCTTGCCCCAATGAACACAACCCTGTTGCTGTTCTTTTTCCACTTTCAACTATTACCTTGTGTCATGTGACAACCTCAGGTTTCTTGTACTCCTCCTAAGGCATTTACAGGGTATGCATCCCAAATAGCACCCTATTCCCTACATCAGGGATGGGCATCTCCAGTCCTTGGGGGCCGGAATGGTGTCACACTTTTTCCCCATCCCTAGCAAACACAGCTGATTGCATTCTAAACTGAAGATAATGATTAGTTGATTATTGGAGTCAGGTGTGTTAGCTGGGGATGGGGCAAAAGTGTGACACCAATCAAGCCACCGAGGAGTTGCCCATCCCATATGTAGGGAATAGCGTGGCCCCTCAGTCAATCAGGCACAGTGGTTTGGGGGGCTGACTATTGTCCTCACACATTACCCCCGACAGGATCTTGTTGCCCGGGACAAGCTGAGACTTGCCCAATCTTCCTGGAGCTCTGTTGAAGCCATTGGAGGTTGACAGACGCTCCACTGGGTTTCTGTTTGGGTTTATAAACTGAATTCTGACTTCTCTGCATCTGTGTTTGAGGGAAAATCACCACCCACTGGCCAGCTAATGACATGGCAGTGCACATTACTCCCAAGAGATCAAAAGGTCATCCACAGATGGGAGCAAGGTAACATTCCTAGACACTGATTTTGGGTCAGTTTAGCATTTTCCTTGCTAATCGTTAAGGTTAGGTTTGGGGGAAGGGAAGCTGATCCTAGATCTGTACCTAGGGGAAATTTCACCCCTAAACTAGCAGAGAAATTGGGAGGCTTGGTGGTGTTATGGTTAAAACAAATCTCCCATGACGACAGATTAAACAATAGATGAGGTCAATCTGTACCTACAGGAAACTTCACCCCGGAGCAGGTTTCACTCCCTGTTTTCTTATCTTGGTGTAGGGTACTGGGTGGGGTGACCCCAAGGCATGTGGTGAATAATCCCTCCTACCTCAGGTTTAAAGACCTGTGTCAATGTTCTTTAGGCACCAAACGTAATAAAAACATTGACTGAAACAGGGAGAGACATTTTCATTTTCCCTAATGAACACGATCCAGGTCATCTTCAACCTCCGAGTGAACAAACAACCTGACAGAGATAGAAACCTTGAGCCAGCATTCCATCTGTTTCACCAGCCATTCGGTCCACCATTTGAACAACACAGA